TCGTTCGCTGCGATCTCCCGCATGGAGCGGCGGCCGTGCAAGCTGCGGCGCAGGATGGCGGCAGCGGCGGAAACGAGAAAGGAGTCGGGCGAAGGGGCGAGGAGGTCGAGGCGATGAGCGGGGCAGCCCGGGAGAGAGGGGGCGCGCAAGATGAGACGGAGCAAGTGGATGAAGCGAGGGCAAGACCAGCACTGCGAGAGAGTGTCGCGACTGGGGTCGACCCCGCTTGGGATGCAACCGAGCAAACAATTGCCGTCCTGGTGGGGCCTCTGGTCTGCAGGCCAGCTGTTGAGCAGTAGTTTGAGAATGGCTCGGCTGGGTATGTGGGCGCGCGGGCATTGCCTTGCAAACGTCTTCGCAAGGTCAAGCTCGAATCTGGGCTTCGGTTTCGGGCGGCCAGCGGGGCGACCGAGCAGTCGGGATGACGGTCGGGCCGTCGGGAAATTCACTTGCGAGCGTGGCCCTGTGAAGGTGGCCTTGGATCTTGAAGCGAGGCGTAGAGGGGGCGGGGTGGGGCGGGGCGCGGCGGTCGCAGCTACGGGAGAGGGGGGCTCGACCGAGCCAGGAGAGGACGCGATCAGGCCATGTCCGACAGGTGCGGGAAAACCGCCGTCAGCACTCTCGAGGAACTCGGCAAATGAGTTTCGCTTCCAGGAGCGAGGGGGGGGCTGCCCCTGGGAAATCAGAGCGACCAGGGGGTTGCTCTCCAACATTCTCGCGCAGAAGTCGGACCATCGGGTCCCAACTGTCAAGGGTCTAGCGGCTGGCGCGCATTTTGGAGGAAACGGCGGCGGAGAGGGGGCTCGGACAGCGGGGGCCATTCCATCTCCAAAGGCCAAAGTAGGCAGAGGCCGGCATGGCGCAGCGCGGGGTGCGCCAGAGACGAGCGAGGGCGGCAGGCTCAGACGTGATCAGAGCAGCAGGGGCAGGAAGAAATTGCGCAATTGACATCATAGTTTTGCGCTGTCGCTTTGCCTGGGAGGTCCGTCGCTGCCAGAGGGCGCGAGATCTCCATGTTGCCGCTGGCGGATTCCAACTTTCAAGGGTAACCTCAGGGCCGAGGTGGGGGCCGAGATGAACCAGGCTCGGCACCACTTGGAACGATGTCCAGTCCGGGAGATGAGTCGCAAGCCAGTCGCGATCTCTGGGCATCTGAGAACTCGCCACAAAGAGGAACCAACTAGCATTTGTAGCTTCGAGGGTCAAGTTAGCCACTCTGGCAGCAACTCTGAAGTTGCGAAGACGTACTTTGAGCACCTGAATGCTCGCTGCGGCCGCGCTCGCGTCGTCGGCGCACGCGCGGGTCGCCCCGATCTGTCTGGCGCTCGCGCTGCGACCGAAGTCCTGCATGAAAGGGTCCGCGCGCGCGCTGGACTAGAAACTTGGCGCAGGGCGGCCCTGGATGATGCCGCTCTGCGCGAAGTGCAGGAGGCTGCGGTCCGCGGAGGCGGCGGCGAAGCACTGCGCGCATCGACGCAGTTCCGCAAAGAACCAGCACGCAGAGGACGCCGCGCCCAGGCGACGAATAACCAAGTGGATCCATTCGCGGGCGACACTCGGACAGGCCTGCTAGATTTCAGAGCTGAGCAATACAGGCGTGGCTACGGCGGCGTTCTCTTGCATGGGGTAGATCCTGGGAAGCGAGCCAAGCTCGACGATATTGCTTCCGGAATTTCTCTGGCGGAGGCAAATCCTTGTTGCGCGGGATTGGTGATGGGCGGCAAGTGTCGCGATAAATTCTGAGCAGCGATGCCAATGCTGATTTTGTTGTCCGTGTTTTTGAGTCCCATCGGGCGCGGATTGCCAGGGGCGCTGAGACAGCCATGGGGGGGGGGGGGGGGGGGGTCCTCGTCCTCGGTGCCGTGGGGCGACTTGTATTTATGTGTGTGTATATATAAACACGCGCCCTGGAGATCGTGGAACTCAACAGGCTTAGGCCGCTCATCCAAGATCTACCGCGTCGCGTCATGTAGAATACCCGCGGGGGACAGGGACTTCTGGAAGGCCTTGTATGGGGGCCCATCTGGGCCAGGGACCGAATGGGGAAGGCGACGGAGATGCCGTTCTAACTTCCGATAGCGAAGGCGGGGGGGGGGGGTCAGACGTCGAGGGCGGGCAGAAGCAGTTGATGTTCTTCGAGGCAGCATTCGCGCAGTCGTATCCGTGGACTTAGGCCGAAAGGCTGCGCCCCCACGGGCAGAAATGCTTTCAGAAATGCCCTCGGGATACGAGACGACCTGCCCATTTTCAGCTCGCGCCCCATCGAGCGCGGCCCTGCGATCGCACGGGGCCCGCGGCTTGGCGCCGGGGGCCAGGCGTCGCAACCTCTTGCGCAACTTCGCCTTGATCTGACCAGGCGTCGCGTGCCTCTCGGTTGCTCGCATCTCGCTGCGGACGGAGCGCCGCCGGCTCCCCGCATCGGCGACTTGCGTGTACTTCGTGTCCAGGGCTGGGGAGAAACGCGCGGGATCTCGCGGAGCCACTCTATCATTATCACGAGCCTCGAGAGGAACTCGGGCCAGAGATTAGCGAAGAAGACGCGAGGCTAACCTGTGGCCCCGTCGCCAGACCGCCCGAGGCATAGACCTCGTGAAAATCAGCTTCGAGGCGAAGCTACTAGGGCCCTTCCCGGGAATGGCTTTCCCTGCATATCTAGCGCCATCACGAAGCGCCGTTTTGCGCAGATGTAATCGGAGAAGCGGGGTCAGCGCCGAGGTGTCCACCGAGGACCAAAAAAGCTCGACGTGCTTCTGGACATCGGGGTGCTCGAAAACGTGCTCGGGGATTGTCTGGTTCTCGGGTTTTCACGGGGGGCTTCGACTGAAGACTAGCAGCGACAAGTGCGCGACCAGAAATCTTACGGCGTTCGAGCGTTTCAGGGGGGCCCCGAACTTCCGTGGAGAGGTGGGCCGAAATCAAAATCCCCCCCCCAGGATGCGAAGATGCGGTCGATGGCGCAGGCGCGTCGGCGGCAGCCTTTGTTACGAATGTGCTCTTGCGGATCGAGCTCAGCGAGTTTGCGGGAAAGGGGCCGCCGGGGCGAGCGGCGGAGACGGCGCCATTCAGGAAACGCAAGGTCTCGGCCAGCCCGCGCCTCTGGAGGGGCCCCAGGTAGCGGCGGGCCCCGTCGATGTGCTGAAATCGCCCGCAACCGCCGCGAACGACGCGTCGGATCCAATGCAACTTATGATGGGGCTCGATTTGCCTCCGGAGAGATCGTGATTGCGGACGTCGAAGTGGATGGTGGTCCTAGCTGTGTCATGCCCGCACTGCGATGCTGCGCCTGGGCAGATAGAGAGACGAAGAGCACGTCCACGAGCGAGCTCGAGTGAGTCCGCGGAGGCGCCGGAGCCAGGGGGGTGGGACGCGCGAGGGAGCAACGTGGCGACCCTGCCCTTGTTCAGCTTGGGGACGAAGGACGTTTCTGCTGGGCGTCCTGAGGCTGACGTGCACAGAAACTCCGAAACATCAAAATCGCTCCCGTGGGCCTCCAGGGCGGCAGTGATCCGAAATCCGCGGGGCATTTCCTGGTGGTGGCGCTGCTTCGTGGACCGCGCACTCGAAGCATGATGGGAAAAAAAACACTCCCTTCCCAAGTGGCCGGCTCGAGCCCGGGAGAGGACAGGGCACCAGTGAGAAAAACCACTTGTTTAACGCACCGGTGTGGGGGGGCCGAGGATGCTGGGCTGGATTGAGCAAGCGATGCGACGATCCTCACCTCGACTGCGGCACGGCGAATTCCGATGGAGGCCAAGTTCGTTTCCTCCCACTCGATGGTCGGACCGTCGGGAGGCCTGGGTGTGACGCGAAGAAGCGACTTCCATTCAGCACTGGTAGCACCTGAGGATTTGTCGGCAAACATTTTGGCATTCGGGGCGAACGAAACACGCATCTTTCTGGCCTGCTTGGCGCGGGTTCACCTGTGGCAACACGAGCCTGGAGGCGACGGAAGCTGCCGTCACAGAGTCGCATGGCACCAATGGCTTGAGAAACGACACGAAAGGCCCAACCCGCATCACGGAAACGCACCACAAACCGCTTGGCCGCATGCGCCCCGTCGAGGCGCCAGCACGATTCCTCGGTGCTCGCGTCGGCGAGCCACGAGGCGATGGCGGCGGACACAGGCTCTTCGGTGACGGGTTGGTTCGATCGAGCCACGATGATGCACGGGTCGCTCTTCTTCTGGAAGCCGTGGTCGGGGTTGACACAGGCCTGGGGCTCGCTGGACTGCACGACCTGGAACACGGCCTTGAGCTCGTGGATCTCCTTCGACATGATGTCCATGCGCTCGGCGTATGCGTCTGGCTGGCCTCGGCAAGGGCCAGGCGCTGTTCGACCTGCTGGCCGAAGCCTTGGCAGTGGGCACTGACGCTGCGCTGCAACTTGAGCCTGGGCTGCTGCATGGTGGACATGGCGGCCAAGATCTCTGCATTCAGCTTGGTGAGAAAGCACGGATATCGCCCTCAGGGAATGGAGGGTCGCAGTCAGGAGCATCATAACCAAAAAGGAAAGGGCGATCTTACGTCGCGTTGGTTGGGAAGATCTCGAGGTCGGTCTCCAAGTCCGTGCTGTCGAGCACCTGGGAGGGCTGCTGTCGAGAACTGGCCTTGCCTTTGCCGGAGGGCGCCTGCATTTCCTGCGAGCGCGAGCGGTCCCGTCCCCCGACAGGAGCGGAAAGTGTCATGGCATAAAAATAACGGGGGTGTCCGCCAGCCTGCGACAGTTGGATCGCTCGGAAGAAAGCTGCCCACTCAACCTCGGGCCTGTCCCGAGCCTTCAGGCATCCCCCACATCCTCCTCCTCCTCCTCCTCCTCCTCCTCCTCCTCCTCCTCCTCCTCCTCCTCCTCCTCCTCCTCCTCCCCCCCCCCCCCCCTCCTCCTCCTCCTCTTCGTCCCTCTCCCTCCTCCCTCCCTTTCCCCCTCCCCCTCCTCCTCCTCCTCCTCCTCCTCCTCCTCCTTCTCTTCCCTCTTCTCCCGCGCTTCCCTCCTCGTCGGGGCCTTTATGATGCGACATCCATCTTCGCGAGCTTCCGCTCGCCCAATCTCACCTGGACGGCGGGCCAAGAGACATGTGGGGGGGGGCCGCTCCCGACACCCCTCCGCTCCCGCGCCGCTCCCCGGCCTCTTCCGCCTGCTCACTCCTGGGCTCTCTCGACGCCTCCCCTCCGACCCCCCGCTACTCGTGCCTCCCCCCCCTCCTCCTCGCCTTCCTTCCTCCAGCACAGCTCCCCCCCCATGGTGGAACTCCACCTCCCCCTCCTCCTCCACAGCTTCCCCTTTCTCCCCCTGAAGGCGACTTCCTGGACGTTCCAGCGGCGTGCGCGCACAACCCCCCCGCACGTCAAGCCTGGGCTCTGCCCGAGACGCAGCCCTCCGCCCTGAGAAAAAGGTGCCTCTCTGCCGCCCTGCCGCGTGCGAATATCGCGGGCCGTCTGCTCACCGCTGGCGGAAGAGAGCCGTATCCACGGCCTCGCGGGCTGGGCCCCAGGGCCGCGATCCCGTGGATCAGTCAATCATGCCATGCGCTGGAGCGCGTGGGCGAAGCAAAATGACAGAACGAGCACCTCGCTGGAGCCGCCGCTCTCCTCTTGCTTTAGACTGCTGAATTGCGGCGTCGATGCAAATGAAATGTGGATACGTGGCCCTTTGTCGAGGGCGCCCCGCGCGGGGCGCATCCATAGGACAGCGGGATCGCGCCCGGCAATCCAAACAACGAGGGCGTGGATACGGACACGCTGGCCGCCCGTGAAGTGACAACCTCAACAATCCTGGCTGGGTCGATCCTGGGCCAGTGATCCCTGTCTGCGCCTCCCTGGCCAAGCCAGGTGGGCGTGGAGCCCGCCGAATACATTGAAGCACCTTCAAGCGAACACACAAACCAGCTCAACCGATGTAATGCTATGACAATGTCTACGCGCATGCGTTGCCTGACAGCACATGTAGTGCTGGATGGGTTGCTGGTGCGGCGTGCCTGACGCATGTGGCCCCACGCTCAAGACATACATCGTTGTTCCCAAGCGCGCTGTATACGCCATGGTTGAACCCGAATGGGACTTGCAACAGTGGCAGACGTCCCATGCGGGGAACGAGACTGTCCCACAACTCGAACACGCGCGACGCATCGGACCTGGTCTCGCTGCCAACTGTTCAACGGGAGACAACTGGATCCCCCGCGGGAGGGGTAGAACGCACTTGCCCGAACGGGAACGGCTGAGCGGCCGCGCGATCTCTCCGATTCCTCGCAGTGGCCACTTGGCGATGATCGGGGCAGGGCACGGGCGCCCCTATGACCACTCCCAGATCACTGGAGCGTCTCGCTGCTGCTCGCTCCGAACACCCAACACCCAGACCCACTGCACTTGCTGTGCAAGCGATTCCATGAGGCGCCCAGGTTGTCAGATGCCCAGGTGTTAAAGACCGCCCCTGAAACAACATCAACAACAAATAACAGACACACGCAAACACATCAAACAAACAACAAACATTTGGGGGGTCTTACTTGCGCTGTGAAGAGCTGGCCCTATGTGCCGCGTGCCCGGCCCGAGCGTCATGTTGCTCCCATCGTACTTACAGACCACATCCAAGAAATCATTTCGAGCACCCGGACAAAGTATCGAAAGAGTGTCGAAACAGTGTCGGACGAGTGCCTCCCAGGGCCCGACACGTGAAATCCTTAGAATGTATGGGTCGCTTTTTGTCGGGGGCGGCAAAGAGGGGGGTGTCCAAGAGGGGGGGGTGCAAATCAGGACTGGCGGCATGTGCGCGGCCCAGCGGGGGGGCCAGGGACGTCATGAAATAAGAAGAGGCGCCATGACATCTGGGGAAATGTCATGGCCCCCGCCATGATATCTCCCCCCCCCTAGTCATCACCCCCCTCTTTTCCGCCCCCGATTTTGGGTGCTCGAAGTTCTTTGCCGCGATCGGCCCGAGCGCGCTCTGCGCCGAGCCCGGGGCACGAGCGCACTCCCCGGCCTGGGGCCCAGGAGCGGCCCAGAATGATGGGCCTGTCTTCCACCACCACCACCGCCATAAGTTGGAGGGGGGGAGGAGGAGGAGGAGGAGGAGGAGGAGGAGGAGGAGGAGGAGGAGGAGGAGGAGGAGGAGGAGGAGGAGGAGGAGGAGGAGGAGGAGGAGGGAGGAGGAGGAGGAGGAGGAGGAGGAGGAGGGAGGAAGGGAGGAGGAGGGGGAGGAGGAGGAGGAGGAGGAGGAGGAGGAGGAGGACAAAGATGCGACCCCCTCCCCCTCCAACTTCTGGTTGTGGTGGTGGTGGTGGAAAGCAGGTCCTATCGCAGAGGCCAGAGGCCCCCCCCGACCCGAGCCCACAAGAGGTCCTCGTCTCCACGTCGCAGCGTCTTGGCCGTGTGGCCCCCCCCTCTCCTCTGGCCTCGCGCGGCGGCATGTCGGCTGCTCGCGCAGGTGGGCCGGCAACAATGTCAGGTCGGGCCTGTCCCCCTACAGGGGGACTTTAAACGGAAAGCTGATCGTAGTCAAACAGATTCAAACAAAACAATAGGAAAAAGCTTTCAACTAAAAATCGTCCCCAGAGTATATTTGTTGGACTATTTTTGGAGTCTTCCTCCTGCAGATGGGCAGGCCCGACGCCATAGCAGCACCTGCGCTGGCAGTGGCCTCCCGCCACCTCGGGCCCTGCGGCCCGAGGTCGGCCGAGGGCGAAACTCACGACGTTTGGGCTCTGGAATTAGTTTTGTGGCATCCTTGAGTTAAAGATGTGCTTGGGCTCTGGACCTAGTTTTGTGGCATCCTTGAGTTAAAGATGTGCTTGGGCTCTGGAATTAGTTTTGTGGCATCCTTGAGTTAAAGATGTGTTTAAAATGTGTAAACCATACTTTTAAATAACTATTTAAAACGTACTTGAAACATCCTTTATACATCTGGAAATCATTTGGCAACATGCTTCCTCTCCATCCATCGACTTCCGCAACATTAGTTTGATCTCAGAATTGATTTCTCGGATCTGTGCCGGGCCGCCCCTGGCGTCGCCCCTGGCGCGCTCCGCGCGCCAGGGAAGGGCGCCTGGCCCGGATCCAAGAAGGAGTCCGCGCGGACCTCGGTCAGTTCCTATCTATGCGGGCTTTCGTTCCTAGATCGTCGTCGTCGTCGTCGGGGCACCAGGGCCAAGACAACACCGGGCCAAGACAAACATCGGGGAGCTGTGCGATCCGGCATCTCTGGAGAAGGCACCGGGCGCCGCGGCCGCTCCGGAGGGCGCCTCTAGAACGCCGCGGGAGCGTTCGAGGAGGGCACTCGGGAACGCCTCGCCCCGAGCCTGGCGCCGCCCGACGCGCCGTTGCTCGGACGTTCGTTCCCCGTGCGGTGCTCGGGCTCGCGAGATGGCCCAAGATTTAGGTCGGGCGTGTCCCCCTACAGGGGGATTTTGGGTGAAGAATTAAGCATACGCAAGAGATGCCCCCTAAATACTCAAAATTTTCAAAACATCGTCCCCAGACTATTTTTTTGACTTTTCTTGAACATTCCCCCTGTAGAGGGACACGCCCGACTCAACCCAAGATGGTTCTCGATGGTCCTCGCCGAGGGAAAGGGGCACGCGTCCGAGCGACATGAGGGTTCACGTCCCGCTGGCCGTGCATGCCGTGGTCGGCCGTTGGAGCCTCGGCCTCCCATGGGCTCCTGCTTCGCCGTTGCGAAGATTCGGCAGAAGTGCGGCGCTTCCTGCAAACCGGCGGGGCCCCAGTACCATGTTGCTGGGGTGCGGCTCGGTGCTTCGGGTCGCGGGGCATGTGTGTTCGCATAGTTTAGCCACCGGCCCGAACATGTTCCACTTCGGTCGTTGTGATACTTGGGCCTGGCCGAGCGAAATCGCCGCTCCACTTCGGACCGACGAGGTTCGCCTTCGAGAAGCTGTTCTCCTCAAACAGCTTTTGGCGAAATCGTCAATATGATTTCGAGACTTGGAGTTTCCCTATCATGTATAACTCATCTTTCGGGAATGTCCAAAGCCAGTAACCACACGTTCGACTTGTCGTGTCATTCATTATGTAATTTGTGAGTGCCAGACGGTTTGGCCGAGTCGAAGCGACGGTGTCTCTCGAAGAAAACTGTTTGGCCTGTGTCAGAAGTTTCAGGTTCGAAGTCGAAATGGCGATCGCGACCATAGGACTTACCCAAAAACAGACGTCGACAACTTGTTCGGTTCAAAATTGGAATTGCGATTCCGCCAAGGACTTCGTACACATCATAGATCTAATCTCTTTCGGCTCGAGGACAGAATTGCGATTCCACCCAGGACTTCTTCCAAAGGACAGGTCGGAACCTTGCCAGCTTGAGGTCGACGTGGCGATTCCCCCAAGCATTTCACCAAACCGCATATCGAAACAGTGTGTTGGTGGAAATAAGAAACGGGTCGTCAAAATTTCGTAGCGCCGATGCATGGCGTGGCTTCCGATGGTTTTCCTGCCCGCATATACCCCGAACAATACTGGCACCAGGAAGGTGAGTCGGTCCTGGTTCTGGTGCATTGGCACTGCATGCTCGGATTTTCGGTCGCAACCATCGGGCCCTGGCCATACAATCGTGGCCTGGCGTGGAGGTTGCGGTCGCCGCCAAGGAGTTCCAGCCACAGAAGCCTGGCCTGTACGTTTAAAGTTTCATTCGCCGCCACATGGTCGGGGCCTGGTCGGAGCCATAGAATACCGGCCATGGGTTCCTGTCTTGTGTTTAGCATGTCCATTCACAACCGTAAATGAATCTCTGGCCATTGAATTCCGACTGTGTGTCGGAACTTCAAAACCGCCGCCACACGCTCATGGCCTGAATGTTGGGATTTTGTGGTCGACACCTTGCAGCTGCCGGCATCGACCCCCAAACGTCGGGTATCGATATGTGTGTCGTGATTGTTCCGGTTCCCACTTCAGGGTCACAACCACTTACGCCTGGTTATCGTGTGGATAGGTTGCCGCCTCTGTAAACCACCTGCGGTGTTGTGTGTCACCATTTAGAGCTGAATGTTGGTCAACTGAGAAGGTATCAACTTCCAAAACGGGGCTGCATGACATCCGCGAGCTCTCTGCATGGCCGCAACCACCGTCGACACATGCGCGAGACCATGAAGGAGGCTACACTATGACCAAGCACACCTAAGGCTAAAACGTCAAGACGTGCCTGACCGTGACCTGCCGCAGAGGATGATCCATGCTTCCGATGGCTGCACTGGTCGGGACCAATACAGAACACTCTTGTGCCAACACGGTAGCCGCACGGACCACGGTGATGACAGCGGCAGCCACGGGACGCTTACGTATGACATCGCAGCTCGAAAAGATCTACAGCCCCGCTGGGGCATCCTGGCGCACTCTCCAGGCGGTTGGAGCCTCTCTGGGATCGCCCTGGCTCTATCCAGAAGAGCCTCCTCGGAGGCACCCGCCCGAAGACCGAACAGAACGCACATCACAGAGGCAGTGCATCTTCAAAGAGCTGTGCAGCAAAACCTCAACGGCTCTCCCTGACGCGCACACGGCCACCAGACTGGCGGAGGGCACCGTCTGGCAGCGATACCGCCTCCGTCAAGAGACCGAGAACGCCGAAGCGCGCTCGGGCGTGCGCGCAACAGCCACGGCAGCAGACCCAATTCGCCTCTGCTCCCCTCAGGGCGAGGATCGGATCGGATCGACTCTCCACAAAATGCAGGGCCACTCCCCATCAGCTGTGCGAAAGCCGAGTCTATTTGGGCCCGACAGCCGAAACCTCAGGGGGAGGAGAGAGAGGATAAGCGAGACAGCAGGCGGAAGAGGGGGAGGAGGGGGAGGAGGAGCAGGAAGAGGAGCAGGAAGAGGAGGAGGATGAGTAAGACCAGTGTAAACCCAAAGCTAATCAAAGATGTTAGAATACACACTCCCTCCAAAACCCCTCTCCATATGCCCCTACACAAGTTCAGTTACACTGAAACAAACTCCCAATTGGGGGACAACCGTGTGAAAATCCTGAAGCGTGCCAGAACACCATTCTCAAGACTTTACCTACACGAATCAATCTAGCTGTTGCGTCTTGACGATCCTGAATCGTGCCAGAACGCCGTGATGTGGACTTCAGCGCCGCGAAGAATCGTGGCAATCCTGAATCGCTCCGAAACGCCATTTCTGGTACGAGTGAAACTCTTGCAACTTTTCACAACGAATGTGCGCGGCGTTAAAGCGAAAACCACATGTTGGAAAATAATCGCCCTCAATCCGGTAAGCTCAGGCAAACTTTTATAACGAATGTGCACCGCGCGAAAGCGAGAACCATATTTTGAAAACGGCCCGCCCTCAATCGGTGAAACTCTTGTAACTTTTCAAAACGAATGTGCGCGGCGCTAACGCTAGAAACACATTGTGGAAACCAACCGCCCTCAATCCATGAAACTACTGCAACTTGCTAAAACGAATGTGCGCGGCGCGAAAGCGAGAACCACATCTTGAAAACCACCCCCCCTCAATCGGTGAAACTCTTGCAACTTTTGGTCAACGAGTGTGCGCGGCGCTAAGGCGAGAAGTACATCTTGAAACCACCCGCACTTCATCTGCAAAACTGTTGTCAAATGTTAATATTCAGGCTCGTTAGTGGTGAGGAAGTCTCAAGCGAAACGCCCGGCCCGCCATTCCGACTTGCCTCGGAGTGCGAGAGGGAGGAGTTTTTCTTCAGGAGAAGTGATGGAGGAGGAGGAGGAGGCGGAGGAGGAGGAGGAGGAGGAGGAGGAGGGACAGGAAAAGGAGGCACGGCGCGGTCAGGGAAGACGGGGGCCGGCGGTCATTCCTCAAGGGAGAGCGCGGCCGTGGAGATGGGAGGACAAGGACGCCGAGCAATAACAAGTGATGTACGCCTTCACGTCGCAATGCAGGCGGCCTCAGGCCTCAGTCGGAGTCATGCGGAGAACGAGGAGCTGGCGGACAGGGTCAGAAAATGGCAATAGTGCCGGGCCGTGAGGGGAGCAGCAGCGGCACGATCAGAGAGGCGTGGCCATCGGTCTGATGAGCTGCTCTGGCGAAGTGCCGCTGTGTCACAGTCGCTGGTCAATCAAGACGGTGTTCGCATCGAGGTGAAGGAACTGGCGGAGGGAGGAAGGGGAGGAGAAGGGAGAGGAGGATGAAGGAAGAGGAGAGGGTGGGTGGTCTGAACTGGGGAGGGTCGTGATCTCGGTCTCGTCTTCGTCCGCCTGGTATGGAGGAAGAGGAGGAAGGAAGGAAAGGGAAGGGGAGGAGGACCATCCTCCCCTGCCGTCTCTGTCACTGGCCTCCGCTTCCCCTTGCCCCCCACCCCTCTCTGGGGGCCCCCGAGCCTCCTCCACGAGCCCCAGCTCCTGCGGGGCCGGCTCTCTGGAGCGGCCAAGGCCGCGGCTGGAGGCAGCAGGAGCGCAGCCAGGACGCCCAGGATGGCGCGAAGCGAGGGAAGGGCGCACGGGGCGCACACACACCGGGGCGCGACACGCTTAGATCAACCGCCACCTGGCGTGACAAGTGGATGGTCAAACCGTGGCCGACGAAGGCATGCGGGCGCACACACGCACAAGCACAGGCTCAAGCACAAACACAAGCACGAACACGAGCACACACAACACACACAAACACGTAAACACAAACACTAACTCAAACATAAACACACACACGCACACACAACACACACAACACCAACACATACAACACACTACACACAACACACAACACACACAACACACACACCACACACACCATACATAACACATAACACACAACACACAACACGACACAGCACGACACAGCACACGCAGCACACAACACAACACAACTCACAACACAACTCACAACACACAACACACAACATACACAACATTTCACACACAACACAACATACACAACACCCAACAACCAACACACTTCACACACAACTCACACCATACACAACACACAACAAACAACCCACATCACACACACGCAACACACAACACGCACACGCAACACAGAACACATACAACACACACGCACGCACGCGCACACACACACACGCACACACACGACCACACACACACGCACACACATCCACACACACGCACAGGCACACACACTCCAACATACACAACACTCACACACAACACACAACACACACCATACACAACAGATAACACACACCACACACAACACACCACAACACACACACGCACACACAGGCACGCACACACGCACACACACACAGGCACACACGCACACGCACAGGGGTCGCGCGCAGACGCGACTCGCCGACGTTGTCGAGTGGGCTCGCGGGGGGGACAGGACTTCACAGAAGCCCTCGCGCCTCCTGAGAGGTTGTTTGTGCCTTCGGGGAAGGCTTAGATTCTAAGCCTGCCCCGAATTCACAGAAGCCTTCGGGCCGTCTGAGAAGTACTCTAAGAAAACTTCTCAGAAGGCTGGGAGGGGGGCTTCCGATCCTCCTGAGAAGGCCCGCCCCTTCTCACTTCCCAGGGCGGAAGAAAGGAGGGGTGAGGGAGAGGACAGGGCGGCAGATGACGAGGGTGGCAGCGTGGATGACGGGGAGGGCAGCGAGGGGAGCAGGAGGACAATGAGCAGGAGCACTCCCCTGAACTAGCACAAGACTCGTGGGGGGCGTGTTGGAGCCGCTTGGGCCCTCCCTTGGGCCCCTTGGGGGCCGTTTGGGGGCCTCTCTTGGGCCTCCTTGGGGCCTCTCGAGGCGGACGGCTCGACTTGTCGATAACGGCCGCTCCCAGCCCTCGTCGCTCGCAGTGTCCGGACACCGCCCCCCCTACGGTCGGCGATGCGAATCGGCAGCGCGCCCCTGCTCCGGCCTGCCGCGGGGCGTGGGCGGGGGCCGTCCCGCGCCGCGTCGATGGCGGCGCGCATCTCCTGGCGCCACGGGCGCTCCCCTGCCCTTCGCGCACTCGACGCGGGCACCTCTCCCCAGACCTGATTCGCCCCGTCGAGGCCCCGATCCCTCGATCTCGATCGCAGCGGCGAGCATCGGGCCCCCGATCGCCGATCGCCGCCGTGCTTATCCTGGGTCCTCGATCGCGTCTTCAACGCACCGGCCTCGCTGAATTTGAGGGCCTGGCAACTCCGATGTGGGTGACGCTGAACACCATGATGTGATCGGGATAACCCTGCTGGTGCCTTCATTTGAGAAACACGGCCAGGCATCGTGAGCTTTGAAAGACTGCCTTGGTAATGAAGCTATGAATGAAACTGTTGACGAACTTGAGCTCTCATGACGGTAAACACGTGACGCCGATATTGACGTTCCGATTTCACGCTGAACATGGTGGTATTGCGCAGAGTTGATGGTACGTGCGGCTCGTGATAGACCTACAGAGCTGCAGCGCTGAATAATTACAACGCTGCTGAGCTGTCGGATCGCATACTGGTGGATCCTCCTGTCCAAGCTGCTGCTCAACCAAGTTCCAAAACTTCAAGATGCTCAACACCAGAACGAAGTTGCGGGTTTGCTGAAAAATGGCTGAACAAGCTGCGTCTGATCAACCTACCAATGAGTTGCGAAGAAATCCGAACCTCTTTGAGCGCCCTGAGCTGTGATTCTGTCGCTCACTACAGCTAGAACAGCTGAGCTGCACTGTCCCCCAGCCTCCTCCCAACACCCCCATCCCAGAAACCGAGCACACAACCAAAAGCGTAGATCGAGCCAGAGGTAACGTGAGCCCCGTGCCCCTGCAGCACCTCGGGGACCTCGTGGCCAGATGGGGCCCGAGCTGATGGTGTCGGCAGATCCGCCGCATCGCCATGGTGCATCGGCGATGCGTCGGAGACGCAGGCATGGAGAAACGTCTGGCTCCAGGCCGCGCCGACATCGTCGACGCCTCGGCGGTGCGGCGCGACCCTCCGGCCGCCTCTGCTCTGGCCCCGTGCTTGAGCAGGGACCGACTGTCCTGGCATTCCTACAGGCCTGCCGCGAAACGTCCGGAGAGCTCAAACACATTCTACGAACAAAAGCACGGTTCTTAGAACATGAACCCGATGTGGTAGAACCAGACGGTCCCAGCCAGAAATGTTCTGAGAACATTTCGTGGAGACCACAACGGGTTTTGGTGGGCCTAGAAGCAAGCCAGGACGATTCGCCACTTCTCGACGTGTGGGCGGCCCGCAGGGAGCGTCGCTGTCTGGGGGTGCCCCGTGCGTGCTCACCGCCCGACCCCTGCCCCTCACTGAGTATCGTTTAGCCGCTCCCCATCCCCAGCGGCGTGGCCTGTGCCCCACTGGCCGATTTACCCCCCTAGATGGGGATGTCGGAGGTGAGGGGGTGAGATCGAAATGGAACGGAGAGCCCCCCTACCGGAAAATCGATTTCGGTTTCGTGTTCGTGCGTGCCGTGCGGGCGAGGCGAAGCTGCGTGGACGGGCGAGAGGAAAGTCTCCTGTGGCTGAGGCACGGCCGGACCAAATGATTCTCCGCCGGGCGGCCGGTGGCGCGCGGGGTCCCGCCGGTGTCCCGCTGGTGTCCCGTGTGGCTGAGGCGCGGCCGGACCAAATGTCTCCCTTCCGGGCGGCCGGTGGCACGCGGTGTCCCGCCGGTGTCCCGCGGTGTCCCGCGGTGTCCCGCGGCGCCCCGCGGTGTCCCGCCGGTGTCCCGCGGTGTCCCGCGATGATGATGATGATGATGATGATGATGATGATGATGATGATGATGATGATGATGATGATGATGATGATGATGATGATGATGATGATGATGATGATGATGATGATGATGCTGATGATGATGATGATGATGATGATGATGATGCTGCTGATGATGATGATGACGATGATGATGATGATGATATGAGGATGATGGTGTCCCGATGATGATGATGATGCTGCTGATGATGATGATGACGATGATGATGCTGATGGTGTCCCGATGATGAGGATGATGATGATCATGATGATTATGTTGATGATCATGATGATGACGATGATGGTGTCCCGATGATGATGAGTATGATGATGTTGATGTTGATGATGCTGATTATGATTGTGTCCCGATGATGATGATGTTGATGATGATGAGGTTGATGATGATTATGGCGTCCCGATGATGATGATTATTATGATGGTGATGATGATGATGTTGATGATGATGGCGTCCCGATGGTGATGATGATGATTGTGATGATGCTGATGATGATGATGATGATGTTGGTGTTGATGATGATGGTGCCCAGATGATGATGCTGATGATGATGTTGATGATGCTGATGATGATGATGTCGATGATGAGGATGAGATGATGATGATGGTGTCCCGATGATGATGATGATGATGATGATGATGATGATGATGATGATGATGATGATGATTACGATGGTGATCATGATGGTGTCCCGATGATGATGCTGCTGATGATGATGATGACGATGACTGTGTCCCGATGTTGCTGATGATGATGCTGCTGATGATGATTGTGATGATGGTGATGATGATGATGATGATGATGATGATGATGATGATGATGATGATGATGATGGTGGTGTCCCGATGATGTTGATGATCGTGATGATGATGATGATGTTGGTGTTGATGATGAGGACCGTGTCCCGATTATGATGATGTTGGTGATGATGATGTAGATGTTGATGTTGTTGTTGATGATAATGATGACGTTGATTGTGAGAGCGGTTGTGATATCGATAGTGAGATCGATAGTGAGACCGAATGTGATATCGATTGTGAGATCGATTGTGAGATCGATAGTCAGATCAATTATGAGATAGATCGAGTGAGATCGATTGTGAGATCGATCGAGGGATATCGATCGAGCGAGACCGATACTGAGATCGATAGTGAGATCGATAGTGAGACCGATCGAGTGAGACGTTGGTTCCTCCCCCCCCCGAACCTCCTTATCACCCGAAGGGTGGTCGTATAGGTAGGTCGTTCCCTTTCAGGTTTCGACGGGTGTATCCCCAACTGGGGTGGTAATTTGGTGGGGGTCTCGAACGGGATGGGGATGGGGATGGGGATTGGTTAAACGATACCGAGACCCGTACGTGCTCACCGCCCGACCCCACCCCTCACTGCAGCGTCCTCCGCCGAGGTGGCACCCCGCAGCATGTCGCGCGCCCGCAGCTGCGCCTCCTCCTCCTCGCGCTGCCTGCGCGCCTCGGGCGTGTCCTCGCCGGGCCGGGCGGGGAGGGAGGTGCGGGGGGCAACCCATGGAGCAGGGACCGACCGTTCCGGAATTGCTATAGGCCTACCACGACATGTTCTTCGCACCCAAAAATGTCATAAAAAACAACAGTGCTCTTAGAACATGAGCCCGATGTGATGAAACAAGACAGTACCAGCCAGGAATGTTCTCAGGACAGTTCGTGGAAGCCACAACAGGTTCTTAGAACATTGTTTGGTAGGCCTATAGGCACGCCAGGACGCTTCGCCACTGCTCGAACCCAGGGAAACACACAATGACACAAGCATCAAAAACTCCGAGGTCCGCGCAACTTTCTTGGATCCGTCGATCTGGCTCCGCCGCTCCCTCGTTTGGCTCCCTCGGCCGCGCGGCGCTAGAACCTCACGTTTCTCTGGCGTCGCATCGGAACATCGGACCGAATGAAAATGTGCGTCGGGTCGGGCTGCATCGGCGCAAAGTCGAAACGTTGAGCCGGATCGGCTGCACGAGGATGCACAGCCGCGCCACGTACCGCATCGGACGTTCGGAAGATCGGCATTGAATCGGATCGGGCCGGCCAGAATCGATGTCGAATCGGATCGTTCGGATCGAAATGGACCCTGCACGGGCCTCCGGTGGCCTTGGCTCAGGGGTGGCCTTGAGACACCGTCAAGAGCACAACAATGGCCACCCGACCGCCGACCCCAACGCATCGCGCTTGGCATGCGTCCGTTTGTCCCTCCGCCTCCCTTGACCCTGCGGCCATCTCGAGAGAAAGAAGCTGAGAGCAAAGCAGCGGTCGGCGGGACCCCACCCTCCCCGCCCGCCAACAAGGCCCCCCCCTCGCACAGCGCGGCGGCAGATGTGTGCAGCAGCGCGACTGCATGATCATGGCCCAACCGAGGTGTCGGTTTGCATAATCAGGCAGGCGCTGGCGTGGATTACGGATCGGGGGCAGCGCCCCCCGCAAAATATGAGGCCAGTGCCGCCTCATTTGGCGGCGGAGCGCGTCAATGCTGTATGGGAACGGGACCTGACGCGAATCCACGCGCCATAATCCACGTTAGCGCTTCCTTGCTCAGAGTCATCATCATGAGAGGTTCGAGGGGCCAGATCACCAGGCCTCAGCCAATCTCGAAGATCTAGATCGAAAGACTGTGTCTCTCAGTCAGGGGCTGTGCCCCTCAAGGAAACAGCTATCAGCACATCGGCCAGACATGCTTACCTGTCTGCACCTGGCCAGCAACCCAAAGCTGTAAAGCCGTGCAGGCACGACCTGTGCGAACGGCGCCATCCCCCAAGCCACCTCTGGAGGGCCACAGCTCGGACCAGACAGGGCAGCGCGGAAGCGTCAATCCCAATCGGTTCAGAACTCCTGTCTGACTCCAGCTGCCCGTGGCCACCGCGGCCGCCGAGAACGACAAAACGTCTTGCTCGGAAGGGGGGATTGTGGGCTGTTATTAATATGAGTGTTGTTGTTATTGTTATTGTTGTTGTTGTTGGTGGAGGTGTTGTTGTTGTTGTATATGTTGTTTGTGTTGTTGTTGTTGTTGTTGTTGTTGTTGTTGTTGTTGTTGTTGTTGTTGTGGTTGTGGCTGTTGTGGTTGTTGTGGTTGTTGTGGTTGTTGTTGTTGTTGTTCTTGGTTCGGGCCGTCGGGCGCTGCTTGTGCCTTCGCGGCCCTCGCACCGGCGTCGGCGAACGTGGGCTACGAACTGCAGGGCTGGCTGCCTTGGGACCGAGCGCTGTGGAGTGCCATAAACCATAAATCCGCCGACCCTGTCGGCGTGTGTGAGGGGCTTCTCCGTTCGCGTCGTGCTTTCTTTCCTGCTCGACTTTCTCTAGCCGCATCCAGCTTCCACTCACCGGTCTCCCGCTCTCCGTCAGCAGAGTCCTCTTCCTTGCACATGCCGTGCCAAGCAATTGATTGAACGTCGTCAATGCTTCGAAGGGAAGCCCCTTCCCTTTTCCCTTTCCCGGTGCGGGGGGGGGGCCGGACCCGGGGGGGTCCCGGGCCCCCCCCCCCAGATCCGACTCCACCGGCAGCCTTCGAGCAAGCCCGGAGGGCGTCGCGAGGAGGTTCTCGTCCTCATCCTCCTCCCCCTTCTCCTCCTTCCCCTCCTGCTCCTCCTCCCCCTCCTCCTTCTCTTCCTCCTACTCATCATCATCATCATCATCATCATCATCATCATCATCATCATCATCATCATCATCATCATCATCATCATCTCATCATCATCAGCATCAGCATCAGCATCAGCATCATCATCATCATCATCATCATCCTCCTCCTCTTCTCCTACTCCTGCCTTTTCACCTCCTCCATCTCCTCCTCCTCCTCCTCCTCCTCCTCCTCCCTCCCTCCTCCCCTCCTCCTCCTCGTCCTCGTGCTCGTCCCTGTCCTCCTCCTCCTCGTCCTCCTCCTCTTCCTCCTCCTCCTCCTCCTTCGCTTCCTCCTGCCCCTCCTAGCCCCTTCGATCAGGGTGGGCGGCACCGGCCGTCAGGCCTCTCCAATCTACTCTTGACTGGGAAGGGGAGCAATACCTTGTTCGGCGTAAAAGCGAGCAAACGAAGCGAAGATGGGCCAATTGGGCCAAATCCGTATCCTTGCCGCCCCTGCGAGCGTGAAGGCGCGGCCCGAAGGATCAACCAATCGAGCTGCCCTGCACAGTTTGGGGTCTATGGGTGAGCACTCGTGGGAGCACCAGTGACCCATCGCAGATGGCAAGACCCCGGTGGCCTCCGCACCGATTCCGCGCAGGTGCTGCCTTCCTCCTGCCGTGAACTCGTCTGGGTGCCAGTGGGCCTTCGTGTGGAGGAGGAGGGAGGAGGAGGAGGAGGAGGAGGAGGAGGAGGAGGAGGAGGAGGACTTCGAGGGGAGCCCTCAGAAGCTCAACGAAACGGCGAATCGGAGCAGGGCACCCGAGACTGTCGGAGCTGGCAGGACCCAAGCCTATAGGCGGGCTGTGACCGCAAGCGTCGCCGCGCGGCCTGAGCCGGCGCCGCCGACGCTCTCTCGGGGGGCCCGTGCCCGTGCCCCTGCCGGTCCGCAGGCCAGAAGGAAGCCTCCTCCTCTTCCTCCTCCTCCTCCTCCTCCTCCTCCTCTTTCTCCTCCCTCCTCCCTCCTCCCTCCCTCCTCGTCGTTTCGGAGATCGCTAATAATCGCTGGGGAGATGGGTACTCTGGATCGCTTCATGATCGTCCCCCCCTTGGAGTGCCCGGGGGGGGGGGGTCCCCCCCGGTGGATTCCTAAGAAGTTCGGAGTATAGGCAGCCACTCGTGCCAGGCTTCTGAACAACCGGAGGGGAGTCAGAGGTCCAAAGAAGCAACCCTGGCTGGAGTGTCCGATGCCCCCCAAACCCCCGCGGCGATCGGACCCGCAGGGGTATGGTCCGCAGGTGGTCGCAGGATAGACTATGGGGAGCCAAGCTCTATACACCGACGCTTTTTCCAGCACGCGGATCCTGGTGTATACGGGATCCTGGTCTATAAACATTTTGCCTTTTTCCCCAGTAGAAAAAGGAAACAAGTATACACCACACCACCCCGACGTCGTCCCCGACCCTCAAAAACTCATGGGATTGCAAAACGGCCCGCTACTGGTAATGTATACGTTCCAGTTTCCGAGACGAGGAGCAGGAGCAGAAACAGAAAGACGACAAGGAAGACTACGCAGAACAACTTGCAGCCTGAACGGCAGAAGAGGGCTCTGCAGCCACGGAGCGGCAAGCCGGGAGAGGGGGGGGGGCGCAGCAAGCTGACCCAGTCGGGCTCCTTGGGCGGATCTGGCCGCTTTGGAAGGCCCTCCCACAGCGTGTTGCTGGCACGACCTTGGGCCAGGAAGCGCCGCACCCTACAGTTCCGCAGCGCTGCTTCTCCTGGCCCCTCCCCTGCAACCTCACCCATGGATTCCCTTCTGGAGTGCAGTCCTGTCATGCTTGCCGAGCAAGTGGGCTTGACATAACCTGGCACATCAATTCTCCACCCGCTGCGCCCGTGCTAGAAAGACACCTACTTGTGAACGATGCAAGGTGGGCAAGCCCAGCTCAGACAAACATACACCCCCATCTGCTCCGAGTAAGAATGCATTTTTGGAGTGTTTCGGCTACAGGCTCGGGAGTCTTGTTCCGAAGGCCATACGACGGTCAAAGTCAGCGAGAGTCAGGTGCTCCTTCGGTCCCCTTTCAAACAATACGAGGTGCGTGACTCCCCCTTGTTGATGGACACCCCCTATTCCGATCGACCGACCGCCAACCAGGGTCAATGCTGACACCCCTCCCTCACCACCCCTGTCGATAAACCACAACATGCACTTTGCGGCACCATCTGCGTCATGCCTCGGGCGCCCCGGAATCACGTCGTGCTGCTCCTTGACCGGAATGGCGGGGGGCTCGCGTTGCCCCGCGCACGCAGGCCTGCCGTGCCTTTCAAGAACACAGGCGAGCCGCATGCTGCGGCAGATGTCGGACCACACGCGGGCGCCCCGCCATCGCACTGCGCTGCTATTCTGGCAAGAACGAGCGGGGGTGCCCTGGCACGCGCGGCGCACCTCGCGGGCGTCGGGCACACGGCTGGCGTCTGCGATGGGTGTCGATGCTTAGCCTCGGGCGCTGCTTCTGTCGTGGGCGGGCGGGCGGGAGTGAGCGAGACGGCCGAGCCTCGACGAGTAGCTCGACCTCTGCCCCGCTTGCCCCCCACTGTGGTCTGGACGGGGGGGGGGGTACAGAGCCCAAGATGTCCCAACATGGCTCCAAGATGGCCTCAGATAGCCCGAGATGGCCTCCGGAATGGCACTGGATAACTCAAGACGCATGTCTCTACGATGCCCCAAAGCCGCCACAACACGGCTCCAAGTGGGCACGGAGCCTCCCAACAATACCGCCAAGAGCAAAACGTCAGGCAACACAAGCACACATCCATCGTTTTCACATGATGCTTGCTTTCTCGCTGTGTCGCTCCGGATGGGCTTCTGAAGCCTCAGGGAGGCGCCAAGACCGCCCAAGAGAGCCCGAGGATTGGCCCAGGAGGGGCCCCAAGAGAGGCCCAGGACCACCTGAGATCGCCCCAAGCGGGCTCCGAGAGAATGGTTGTTCGGGCCCCGATGGAGGGACTGTAAGAAGGACTCCCCTTCGCTCAAACGCAACATTGCTGAAATACCTGAACATATTTGAAAATGTTCGGCCTCTCGGTGGCATCCTTCTGTGGGGGCTGGATCGACTCCAAGAGGGCTCCGAGAGCTCCCCAGACGGTTCGAGGAGGCCTCCGGAAAACTCTCGGAGAGGAATCCGCGAAGACCTTGATGGTGGACTTCTGTCGTCGTAGACTATCCCCATACCCTCCTCCTCATTTGCTTTCATCGTACTCCTCCTCCTCCTCCTCACATCCTCCTCCTTCCCTTCCTCACCATCTTCCTCACCCTCCTCCTCCTCGTCAATACTAAACTAGGGGTCGGAGTCTCAAGCTGCTTCGAGCACGGAGGGGGCGCCGCCTGGACGCGCTCCACACGGCGCGAAAATCGTCCAAAATGTTCGAGCCCGCGTCGGCTGCTCACGTGTGCGTTGTGCAGTGCGCCTGCCAGGCGCCGTCGCCGACCTGTCAAGTATGATATCGCGACATGTTCTAGAACTCCTGGCTTTTGCTTACAACTCTCTCAGCAGCCTGAAAGAGCGGAGTGGGCTGGCGCCTGCACAGCAGGCTCGCGCACGCCGCGGGCAGATTGCGCCGCGGACCCGCGCGGCCCCAGAAAGGAGGAGGGGACAGGAGGACGAGGAGGAGATAGGCGGGCAATGATTTGCTGGGCTTCGCTGTCAGACGCTCGGAAGACAAAAGGGCCCCAATGACGCGCGCCTGTCGTCACGCCGGGCTGGCCCCTGAAACCGAGAAGTCGGACGCACGCTGCTGCCTGAGAGCTGCCACCTGATGAAGGGAGCCGCGCGTACGTCTGGGGACAAAAAGAGGCGCGCACGCCTCTTGGCTTCACGGGCCCATCGCGCGGCGATAGGGCGGGCAGAAGGTCGTAGAACAGTGAAACGCGCGCGTGTGACTGCGCCCAGCCGAGCACTCAAGAAACCACTCAAAGTCAACCCGTAGCATGAGGATGCACGGGCCTCGGAAGGCCATGTCGACCCTCTGCGAGCGGGGCGCGGCCAGCGAGGGTCGCCAAAGATGGGCCGAACGGGCAAGGGTGCAAGCGAGGGTACCCTCTTGGGAAGGTCGCCCATATTAGGGAACCAAGCTCTATACACCGACGCCTTTGTCTGGCCTCACGCTGAATCTCGCACAGGAAAGCGGATCCTGGTGTACACGGGAAACAAGCATGCACCACACCACCCCGACGTCGTCCCCGACCCTCCAAAGAAGTGCCGGGATTGAAACATCGCCCGCCACTGGTAATGTATATGCTCCAGTTTCCGACATATCCTTCTTAGGGGAACGACAAATTACATAAACATAAAAAACTCGGAGGTCCGCGCGGATTTCTGGGATCCGTGCTGGACCCCCCTCCCTGGCGCGCGGAGCGCGCCAGGGGCGGCGCCGGAGGCGCCGCCGGGGGGCCCCAGCGCCGCTCCGAGAAATCCGCGCGGACCTCCGAGTTTTTATGTTTATGCCACTTTTTGCTCCCCTATCTGCGGGTCGGCGCGCGCGCGCCTGCGCACGCCCGAGAGAGCACGGGCGGGGCGGGCCGCTGCGCGAGGCGGCGCCCTTGCCGCCCGCCGCGGAGGCCTGAGCGCGCCGGGGGGCCGCCGCTGCCGCGGGGGCACGGGGCGGAGCCCGGGGGCTCAGGCAGCCTCCGGTGGCAGCTCACGGGAGCCTCCCATTACCATCTTGTCGGCCCTTGCGATATCGACGCTAGTCGACGCTGGTCGACGCGCATCGACGCTACATCGACGCGAATTGACGCTAGCCGACGCTCAATCGGCGCGATCTCATCGATTCCCAGACGCTAACCGACGCTAGAGACGGAAGTAAGAGGGTACACCAAGCTCCTATGACTTGCTATCGAAGGCATCCGACCTCGTGCTCAGGTTCCCCAGAGGTCCATCCAAGGGAGACACGGGCCCAGTTTTGCTCGCGTCGTGAAAAAATCACGGCGGGGGAAATCTGGCCGTGTTCGGGCCGTCAAAGAACGTCCTGGGATGGAAAACCGGGGACAGGACCGGGACTTCGAGGGAGGAACAAAAAGCGGCACAGACATAAACTGTCGGAGCTCCGCGCGGATTTCTTGGATTGGCGCTGTAACCCCCTCCCTAGCGCTCGGAGCGCGCCAGGGTCGGCGCCGGAGGCGCCGCCAGGGTGGCCAAGTGATGTCTCAGGGGGACCGCCAGGTGTCTCAGGGAGAAGATGCTACGTAGCACCCCGCAATTGCGGATAAGAGTGAGGGGGCGGGCGCGGGCGACGCGGGCGTCGTCAAGCCGGCGGACCTCGTGGCCCCCACCTTCCCTGTCCATGGCGCTCTCCTCCTCCTCCTCCTCCTCTCCTCCTCCTCCTCCTCCCTTCCTCGTCCTCGTCCTCGTCCTCATCGTCATCGTCATCGTCGTCCCTCTCCCCCCCTCGTCCTTCCATCATCGTCCTCCCATTGTCGTCATGTTCCTCCTCGTCGTCCTCCTCTTCCCCCCCTCCCGATCCTCCCCCCTCCTCCTTTTCGTCGTCGTCGTCGACGTCGTCGTCGTCGTCCCCTTCCTCCTCCTCCTCCTCCTCCTCCTCCTCCTCCTCCTCCTCCTCCTGCTGCCAAAGCAGCCCGCCGCAAGCGCCGAAAAATTTGGTTTGTACACTGAACGTGGTTTGGGTCGCGGGTGGGCCGCGGATTCTCCACCGGGAACGACTGCAAAGATGCCCGCCGCAGGCGCCGAAAAAAATGGTTTGTACCCTGAGCGTGGTCGCGGGTGGGCCGCGGTCTCTCCACCTAGAACAGATGCAAAAGATGCCCGCCGCAGGCGCCGAAAAATGTGGTTTGTACTCTGAATGTGGTTTGGGTCGCGGGTTGGTCGCGAGTTGGTCGCGGGCTCTTTACCTGGAAGGAATGCAAAAAAAGCCCGCCGCAGGCGGCGAAAATGTTGGTTTGTACCTTGCACGTGGTTTGGGTCGAAGATGGGTCGCGGGGTGGGTCGCGGGGTGGGTCGCGGGTGGGTCGCGGGTGGGTCGGGGTGGGTGGGTCGCGGGGTGGGTCGCGGGGTGGGTCGCGGGGTCGCGGGTGGGTCGCGGGTGGGTCGCGGGTGGGTCGCGGGGTGGGTCATGGGGTGGGTCGCGGGTGGGTCGCGGGTGGGTCGCGGGGTGGGTCGCGGGGTGGGTCGCGGGGTGGGTCGCGGGGTGGGTCGCGGGTCTGTCGCGGGTGGGTCGCGGGTGGGTCGCGGGTGGGTCGCGGGTGGGTCGCGGGGTGGGTCGCGGGTGGGTCGCGGGACGGGTTGCGGGTGGGACGACGACAACAAACAACAACAACAACAAACAACAAACAACAACAAACAACAACAAACAACAAACACAACAAACACAACACACACAATAGCAACACCACCACCAACAACAACAACAACAACAGCAACAACAACAACAACACCACCAACAACAACAACGACAACAACGACAACAACACCAACAACACCAACAACAGCAACAACAACAACAACACCAACAACAACAACAACAACAACAACAACAACAACAACAACAACAACAACAACACTTACAATAACAACAACAACATCAATAACAACACCAACACCAACAACAACAACAACAACACCAACAACATCACCATCAACATCAACAACAACAACAACGACGACAACACCACCACCACCACCACCACCACCACCAACAACAACAACACCACCACCACCAACAACAACAACAACAACACGGATCCGCACCGCGGAATCCCACTTCAGCCACGCACCCAGGGACAGTGAATGACCGTTCGGCCCCCTCACTCTGATTTTCTTCAGTCCAGGCATTGTCCCTCGATTTCGGCTTCTGGGGAGGGGGGCGTCACTGGGCCATAGAAGCATCAGGAGTGGATCCTGGACGGGAAACTGCCCCAGGGATTGGGTCGGGACCTCCGGGCCGCGCATTGAAAAAATAAGGTCGTCGGATGCCTAGGGATGGCGGCGGCAGAGCTTGGCGACCCTGTCGAGGGAGCGGCGGTGAGGGGGGGAAACCTCCTGAGAAGGCAGCGGTCTTCGACCCTGCTGGCGCGTGTGAGGGGGAATCTCAGGCTGGTCGTGCAGGAGTGGCCCTGGGGGACGCTTTTCCGCTCGATGACTCTGCCCTCCCTTTCCCTGTGGCCGCCCGGGGCTCTCCAAGCTCGCCAGTCCGAGGTGAATCGACCGAAGCCGTAGTAGAATCGAAAGGAAGGTCCTTCCCCTTGATCCCTTCCTCGCTAGGGGGGGCGTGCTGGGGAGGTCTCGTGGGGGTCACCTTCCCGCCAGTCGAACTATCTTGGGGCCACATAGGCCCGCTGGAGCCCTCGGGGCCAATTTCGACTCTCTTGGGAATCTCACTGGCCGTGGTGGAGGTCCCATGGGCCTATCTGAAGCCCCAGTCTCCTGAATTCCGCAGGGATTTGTGTGACTGATCCGTCTCGCCGCATCGGCTGCAGGAGCGCCCAAGACGGCCCAAGAACCCCACAAGATCAGCCCACGATTAGAGGTGGGATCCGAATAAATGGGGTCGGAGGATCGCGCTGCATCGCCGATACATCAACGATACATCGCCGATGCATCGGCGATGCACCGGCAACGCATGCGATGCACCGGCGCCGTTGGCGTGAAAAACATCGGGCTCCACATCAAGCCGCATCACGGATGCATCGGCGATGCGGAGCGATCCTCCGACCCCATATATTCCGACTCCATCTGGGAGGCCCAAGAAGACGATTCAAGAGGTTCCCGGGTGGGGCCTGGGAGGCCCCAAGGAGGGCCCCCAACGTACGCCACGGTCGCACCGCTGGAAGCCAACCTCGCCAACATGACCCTAAGACCTCCAAGAGTCGAGTGGGGGATCGACTAATACAGAACTGATTTACCCCAGAATGGATTTTTCTTGTCGAATCCACGTGCAATTCGTAGAACCTTCGCAGATCTACGAATGGTTGACGTATTCTGTCGAAGAGTCGACGTGAAAATCAATTTTGGGGTAAATCCATTCTGCAGTCGATCCCCCAGTCAACAGAGGCCAAAGAGACCACAAGAGGCCCCCCAAGTGACACTAACACGTTCCCAAAAAGCCTCTGGAGCGCGACCCGGGTACGCTGTGGAGGGACGGGCCGAGGACCACACCAGATGCTCGCCTTCGCATGGAGAGGCCGCCGCGGCGCCTGGCCCCGTCCCCGGTCCGCCTCGTGCGCTCCAGCTGCTCACTTCTCGGGGTCGGCCCTGCGACAGGTCGACCCACATGCTTCTGAGAGAAGGCTTCTCGGGAAGCGGGAGGGCCACCAGAAGAAGCCCCCCTGCCTTCCTCAGGCGACCGCTCCCCTCGCCCAGCTCCTCTCGGCGCGCCGCCGAAGAGAAGGGGGTGGAGGTGGGATGGGGGGGGGGGCGAGGAAGCAAGGGTTAAGCAGGGCCTGCCCCCCTACGGGCGGGCCCCCCCTGGACGAAAAACAAAAGATAGCCAACAAAATACCCCAAAATGGCCAACAACAAATACAACAAATCGTCCCCAGACTATTTTTCGACCATTCTTGAATACTCCCCCTGTAGAGGGACAGGCCCGACCTGAGGCAAAGGGAGAGCGGAGCGGGGGTCACACGGCAAGGAGGAGGCGGAGCGACGAGGAGCGCAGGCCGAGCGGAACGCGGGAGCCGTGCGCGCCCCCATCGGGAGGAGCCCGCCCCTGTCCATCGGGGCGCAGCGCGGAGGCCGTGGCCTCGGAAGTGGGATGCGCAGTCGGGCCGGGCGAAGGGGGGGGGATAGCAGAAGGTGTGTGTGTGTGTGTGTGAGAAGCAGCTCATGTAGCTGATTTTCCCGGCGCGGGAGGCGGCGATGTATCGAGGAATGGGCCCCGCGGTGGGGCCGAAGCCAGCTGCATGCAGCACATTTCGTACCCCCCTCTTTCCCAATCCCCCCCTGTCGTTCGGCCCGACGTAGGCGGACTCGCGTGGCCTCGAAGGGGGCGCCAGAGCGCCGCAACTCGGATGTTCCGAGGGAGAGCACGACATGCCAGGCTTGGCGAAATAGGTGTGCTTGAGCTTCTAACCGTCCCGGTTCTCAATGTATCCCTGTATCAGGTGCAAAACCCGTGCAAGTTCTCCTCCGCCGCCCTCTGCTACTGACCGGATCCGGCGATATCATCGAACGAGTGAGGATAATAGGCATCCAGATCCGGAGGCATAGGCATCCAGATCATAGGCAGGATCGAGGATGATTGGATCCACAGCGTAGACAGGGAGGAGTTAGAAAGGGAGGGGGCGGGGAATCAGAAAGAGAGGGGGAGTGAAGCGGAGCATGCAGGAGGGTGGGGGACAGTGCATCATGACGATGAACGTCGGGGCTCTAATCTTGCTGGCCCAGAGCCAGGAGCACCCCGTTGGTCACACGATATTCCCAACCAGCCATCGGGGCTGGGGTGGGATGGCGAACTTGTCTCTTCCCTCTTACAGCATCCCTCCTCCCCCTCTGCGAATGGAGGGGTTGCTCCTCGTCCTAACCCCCGACGTGCCCTGGGGCTGGGCGGAGAGGGGGCGCAGAAGGGTCATGGGGGTCCCTTCTGGCCCAACGATGGCTCCAAGAGGGCCTCGGAGAGTCCAAGATGGCATCCAAGATGGCTGAAGATACCTGGCGATTTGCAACCGGGGCCTCAATATGACTCCAAGATGGCCCAAGGGAGCTCCAAGAGGGGCCCAAGAGGCCACAAAGACGGCTCCAAAAGCGCCCAAGAGGCGCCCAAAAACGCCCCAAGAAAACCCTAAGAGGCATTATTTCGGCCTGTGAAGGGGAAAGGGGGGGAGAGCTTCCAGGACCCTCTTTCTTAATCGATGGCCTCCAAGATTGCCCCAAGAGGCCCTCCAGGGCCCCAAAGACAGCCCCAAGAGGGACCCAAAGGTGTCCAACATGACCCCACGATGGCTCCAAGATGCGTCGCGATGTCTCTAAACTCACCATTGTTGATCTACCTGCTTCCCTACATAGTTACATACGCCCTTCCTCCAGACAACTCGCACGGGCACCGCGTCTGAATGGGCTGGTGGAAATACTTTTTGATCGCGAGCGACGCAGGAACCTGCGCGCCGTCTAAGAAGTCGTGAGAGTGCAGGCCAAGCTCAGGCAGCACGCGGAAAAGGGGGCGGCCACAACGGTGGCGAAAACGAAGCTGGTGGAGATACGCGACGCATCAATGCTTATTGACAGATGATCACGGTCATCATCATTGAAAGACGCAAATCTTTCACCACTGCTGGCACACTGCTGGCAACGCACCTCTTAATACACCCTTTCAAGTCCCGACATCAGTCTGACTCATAGCAGAGCTCGTGAGGCGAATGTCAGAACGGATCCCTTCTTGTTATGCAATAAGTATCTGCGTACTTGTTTACACACTGTACAGTACTCACGCACGTATTGACTCGGGACAGAACCCAAGAAGGCCGCGACAGCAAGAACGAAAGCGCTGATCGGGCCCACTCGTGGTCCGTGGGGAGGCTGCCGACGGCAAGCGGGCATGCGACGACCGACCAGCCCATGTCAGCGGAAGCAGGGAAAAGAGCCTTCTGCGGCATCCCATGGGAGCCTCCCATACCATCTAGTTGGCTCTTGCGAATCGACGCCAATAGACGCCAACCGACGCTAGTCGACGCTGAATCGCCGCTGGTCGACGCTAATCGACGCCAATCAGAGCTAAGCCGGCGGCTTCTCATCGATTACCCAACACTAGCGGCTACTAGCGCACTCTAGAAACGGAATTACGAAGACACACGCGGTTTCCATAATCTGATACCGAAGGAGCCGAAGGCCGGGCCCATGAAACCTGGGATCCTGCAAGATCCTGCGCGCTGGCCTGGGTCAATGCAATCCCGGCTTTGCAGGATCCCGCGAGATCCGGCGCTCTGGCGGACCCCCGCCTGCCTTGGACCCCCGCCTCGAGGCTCCAGAAGGCGCGTCTGGCCGCCGAGGGGAGAACGGAGGGGGGGCGGGAGTGCTGGGGATGAAAGAAGCGGACGAGGAGGAGGAGGAGAAGGAGGCGGAGGAGGAGGAGGCTGAGGAGGAGGAGGGGGAGGAGGAGGAGGGGGAGCAGGAGGAGGGGGAGGAAGGGGAGGAGGTGGAGCAGGAGGAGGAGGGGGAGGAGGAGGAGGGGGAGGGGCAGGAGGAGGGGCCTGCTCCCTCTCGCGCTGCCTCCGCGCGCGCTCCTCGCGCTTCTTTGCCTCGTACTCCGCCTGGCCACGGCGCACGGGCGGCCGCGCGGTCGGTGCCCCGGGGGGCGAGGGGCGGCGCTCCGGGCTGGAGCGGTGGGGGCCACGCCGGTGGGCGATCGGTGGGCGGTTCGGGGCGAGGCCCGCCCCCCCCCCCCCCTCCGGGACGGTCCGGACGGATCCGGGCGCCCAGCACCCCGAGGCTGGAAGACCGCTGAGCTTCCCATCCCCTTCCCACCTTCTCGACCTCCAGTTGCTTTGCCCTCCCCCCCCCACCCACCCGCCTCCCTAGACAATTGTGCAGAATACCGTTCCACTGTCAATGATTAACCCACCACTTCCTCCTCTGCGCCCGTCCTTACCACTATTCCTGCTGTTCCTCGTCTCCTTTGTCCTCCTCATCCTCCTCAAGCTGCCTTTCCTCCTCCAGCTCATCCTGCAATTATCTCTACTCCTCTTTATCATCATCACGACGGTGGAGAATTGGCACGACGTCCATGAGCCACACGCAGGCATGTACATTTGTACATATGTGCATGCACGACAAGATCCATACTGTTTTCTGAAAATGCCCGTCCAAGGGCCGACGCCGGTTTGCAACCAGCCACATGTTCATGAGGGGGAGGCGATGCAGATTTGCGCCACCCTGTTTACACCACAGAATTTGCACCACATGTATCCCCAGACCGGAATCTTTTTTTGTGCACGGATAAAAGTCGTTTCCTCCCGTCTGTGAAGGCCAGAAAGTCAGGGTTTAGTAGCCTGGCTCGACATCTTCTGGCAAAAACAGCTAACGTGCTTGAAGCCAGACGCAGTGTCAAGAAGAAGCTCACAGAGCGCTTTACACGTGGTGTTTTCCCTACGTCGGAAACAAAGGTGTCGTTCGTGTCAACGTCGGCCTGCCCCGCGTCACGCTGGAGACGGAACGGACCACGGGAGCTTGCAGCCCTTAAGGCAGGCGCGTCCCCGGGCAAGAGACACCCCACCATAATGGGTGCACTCGGCCCGTGGGGGTGGGCACATAATTCAAAGATGCTTGTGCCCTTGTTACAGTGTTTCGACAAGTTATATTCGCTGTCACATTCTCCCTATTCCATTCACTTGCTTGTACTTTGTTGCATTGTTTCGATACTGCTGTATTCAGTGTTGCAAAGGCGGTTGTCTCTCATCAAGCGATTTGGTCAATCATCAGGCAAACCTCTGGTTATCAGCCGAAGGTCTCTCCAAGAGCTCGTCTTCGGCGGTGCAGCATTTTTCCCATCAGCCAGAGTAGTAGCAGTGGTCGCTTTACCAAAGAGGAGGCTGCGCACGTGCGCTCTGATTGTGGTGCCCGAGAACCGGGATACGAAGTCAATTCCGCCGTCCTGTGCTCCAGTCGGTGCTCTGGTCACGGGGGCGGGGGGTCGGACATTCAAGGAAAAAGGGGGCACCTGCGGCCAAACCGCCAGGTGCCGACGATGTCACGAAAGAGGGGGCAGTCGTTTCCTCCCTTCTGTGAAGGCCAGATAGTCAGGGTTTAGTAGCCTGGCTCGACATCTTCTGGCAAAAACAGCTACCGTGCTTGAAGCCAGACACAGTGTCAAGAAGAAGCTCACAGAGCGCTTTGCACGTGATGTTTTCCCTACGTCGGAAACAAAGGTGTCGTTCGTGTCAACGTCGGCCTGCCCCGCGTCACGCTGGAGACGGAACGGACCACGGGTGCCTGCAGCCCTTAAGGCAGGCGCGTCCCCGGGCAAGAGACACCCCACCATAATGGGTGCACTCGGCCCGTGGGGGTGGGCACATGATTCAAAGATGCTTGTGCCCTTGTTACAGTGTTTCGACAAGTTGTATTCGCTGTCACATTCTCCATATTCCATTCACTTGCTTGTACTTTGTTGCATTGTTTCGATAATACTGTATTCAGTGTTGCAAAGGCGGTTGTCTCTCATCAAGCGATTTGATCAATCCTCAAGCAAACCTCTATAAAAGCAATGATCGCACCTCCCATCATCACCCATCTCAACCTTCATCATCAACACCCTCCTCAACACCATCTTCACCACCACCACCATCATCGTCGTCATCATCACCATTATCATCGGCATCACCATCACCAGCATCAACATTATCATCATGTGCATCATCTTCATCATCCAGGTCATAATCCTAGACATCATCACCACAACCATCACCATCACCATCACCATCACCATCATAATCACCATCATCATCACCATCATCGTCAACATCACCATCATCCTGGCCAGCACCATCACCATGACCATCATCATCGCCATCATCATCGCCATCACCATCACCATCATCATCATCATCATCATCATCATCATCATCAGCAGCATCATCGTCATCAGCATCAACATTATCAGTATCATGCTCATCGTCACCATCACCATCACCATTCGCGCGCGTAGCGCGCGTGGTTCTAGCCGACTTCGGAATCATTATCAGTAGGCCTTGCACGAATCCACACACCCGAATTTACCAAAGGAGAAGTGCCCCGAGCCTACGCCACCCTTAGCGCGTGGTGCCAGGCTGTCTGAGGGATAGCAGCGGACTTGTGGGGCAGTTACAGAATCCGTCGAACCATTTGGGGTCATAAGACGTGTGAGACTCTCCCCTCCCCATAATCTCCCCCGGGCAGGGGGGTGGGGTGGGAGGTGGGGGGTGGGGAGGAACAAATTGCAGCGGAAAGTGCTGAGCGAACTTTGCCCGCTTGACAATGTGATCCCCACTGTCAAGCAGGCAATCGGCCACACTTCCCTTCGGATTCCCTGTTTGAAAGTGGGGGTCCCATTAGAAAATGGGCAACTGGGTACCCCGCCGATTACCCATTTGATGACGGGGTTGCCTTTGCCAATTGGGCGATCGGAACTCAATTCGCCCGCCTCGGCCTAGCCCCCCCAATTGCTCATTTGAATGTGGTCCCCCCCGGTCGAGCGGGCAATCGGAGCTCGATTCCCGCGACTCGCCCCCCCCTGATTGACAGTTGGCCCCCGCTGAGAAATGGGCAATCGGAGCTCAACTACCGCGCCTCGGCCTGCCTCCCCGACGGTCCATGTGAAAGAGGGCTCCCGCTGTCAAATCGATAATCGGTCTTCCCTGGCCGCCCAGGCCTGGCCCCCAAACAAACTATTTGACAGTGTGGCCCCACTGCCACATGCGCTAGCTACCTCCTCCCCCCCGCCTTGGTTGGGCCTGCACGTTTGCCAATGTAACCTCACTGTCAAGTGGCCAGCCCCCCGAATGGCTGCCCATTTGGCAATCTGACCCCTCACGAGCTTCCCATGGAACATCGAATTTGACAACTTGTTCGGCCTCCCAATGCTCGCGCCATTCAGAAAGCCTCCATGGCACATTCCACCGCTCCTCTGGGTGCGCGGCCATCCCATCTGCATCGATCGCAAAACCATCGCGGCCAAATTGGCATCGAAACCCCAAGTTCGAAGCAACTGGATGCAAGCGGTGAGCCGTGAACCCGGTCACGGCCGGAGGCCTCGTAGAGATCCTCGCGCGCGTTGTACTCCTGGTGGCTACAAGTCTTCGCTCCACCGAATGCCTCATTGGCAAGGTGCCGCATAGCGTCCCTCCGCCTATTTGAGGACACTCCTCGCCGCAGACATTCCGTGGCCCCGCGGGTGGCTGGCTGGTCTGATTGGCGTCAACAGCTAGAAACTTCTTGTCCCTCGAAGCATAGTAAAGCGCTGGGGCATAAGAACTTTTCGCTTCACGCGGCCCAGAAAACAGCGTCTGCACATGTTTTGTGACTTCAAGGACTTCACGACGAGCTCAATGGGAGTCGCGGAAGAATCCTTTAAGAGCGCTTTTGGGGCAGTCCCGAAACCCTCTTGGGGGCGTCTTGGGGCCTTCTCGGCACGTCTTGGGCACCTGCGAAAGCTCCCTTGAGCACTTTCGGAGGCGACTTTGGGCTGATCTGGTCCGTCGTGGAGCTCTTTTTTTCTGAGAGATGGACGGTGCACGGCCAAGCTCCACGCAGCACGTACTTGGCACGTAGCCGCTGCGTGGTCCGAAAGCTGACTCGTCGACGCTTCCACCTCGCAAACCTTGACAAATTTGGCGGTGCTGCTCCCTAGTCCCAAGGCAGGGACCTGGGCACGATCCCAACAGATTTCCACTTCGTCTCCTCCGTCATATCCCTCCCATGCACCACTGCGCACTCGAAAGGTATTGTGAGCCTGTGAAGGCTGCCCGAGAGCAAAATGTAAGATGATGTCACACATGGTCTCCGGGGACCTAGTACGCTCCACGGCCGCCTGGTTTTGAAATTTCCCACGCGCTGCGCAGGCTCCTTTAAGAGCCCTCTTGGGGCAGTCTTGAAACCCTCTTTGGGGCGCCTTGGGGCCTTCTCGGCACGTCTTGGGCCCCTGCGACAACTCCCTTGAGCACCTTTTGGAGGCGACTTTGGGCTGATCTGGTCCGTCGTGGGGCTCTTTTGGGACCATCTTGGGGTCTCTTCGGGCGCCTCTGAGTCCAAAAGCTACACATAAGACTGCCGCATGGTTTGACTGATGTTGGTAGCTTGTATGTCCTCGTGGGACCTCCTGGGATCATCTTGGAGGCATCCTGAGGCCCTCTCGGGCTGCCCTGCGGCCCTCTTCGGCAACGTTGGCGACGTCTTGGGTTCTATTCATTCGGTCTTGAAGTGGAACAGAATGCGGCAGGCAACGTCTGCGGTGCGAACTTCTATGGCCACCCCCTGCTATATGCGGGTGCATCCCACTGCCGCCTCGCTTTTCTGCAGACCTACGCGCGGCGCAGCATCGAGACACAGCGTGCAGCAAAGCATGTCTGCAGTGCTGCTACTGGCGGGAACCAACCGTTCTGCCCGGACAGCTTGTGCAGAAAAGCTGTGCGCGAACACGTTGTACAGCAAGTGGCGATGATGAAGAGGCAGCGGAGGCGCACTGTCGCGAGATGGAGACAAGAGAGAACTAGCAGAAACATTGAAACTTTTGGGGGGCATCTATGGCTGTGTTTTTTCCCAGCCATCCTGTAGTGTTGGGTCTTCGTTTTGAAGACACGGTCCCCGCGTTCCTTCGTTTTTCTCCTCCACCCCTCCTCCCTCATTTCATGTCCCCATAGGGAGCTCCACCGAAGGCTCCAGCGGGACCGCCCGCATGCGTCATCCACCACCCAACACAGCATTTCGTGGCCCCATAGGGAACCCCACCGAAGGCTCCAGTGGGACCGCCCGCATGCGCTATCCACCACCCAATACAGCGCTTCGTGGCCCCATAGAGGGGTTCCACCGAAGGCCCCAGTGGGACCGCCCGCATGCGTCATCCACCACCCAGCACAAGGCTTCGCGGCCCCATAGGGAGCTCCACCGAAGGCTCCAGTGGGACCGCCCGAATGCGTCATCCACCACCCAATACAGCGCTTCGTGGCCCCATAAGGGCGCTCCACCGAAGGCACCAGTGGGACCGCCTGCGTGCGTCATCCACCACCCAGCGCAGCGTTTCGTTGCCCCATAAAGGGGGCTCCACCGAAAGTCCCAGTGGGACCGCCCGCATGCGTCGTCCACCACCCAGTGCAGCGTTTCGTGGCCCCATATGGAGCTCCACCGAAGGCCCCAGTGGGACCGCCCGCGTGCGTCACCCACCACCCAATACAGCGTTTCGTGACCTCATCAGGAGCTCCACCGAAAACCCCAGTGGGGCCGCCCGCATGCGTCATCCACTACCCCGCGCAGCATTTCGTGGCCCCATAGAGAGCTCCACCGATGACTCCAGTGGGACCGCTCGCATGCGTCACCCACTACCCAGTACAGCGCTTTGTGGCCCCATAAGAAGCTCCACCGAATGCCCCAGTGGGACCGCCCGCGTGCGTCATCCACCACCCAGTACAACGTTCGTGTCCCCACAGGGAGCTTCACGTAAGGTCTCCGTGGCGGAACTCGCATGGCGGCCCAGTGGTGGAGTTCGTATGGCGGCGACTATCGATTTTCAGAAGTTTTTCGTCGTTTTCGACGTATTGAAACTGCTTTCTGGCCGCGCATCCCGGGCGGGAACCAGCCTGCTCGCCGTCTCTGCTCCGCGCAGCGGACGACCCGCGCGCGTCGCCGGGACCCCTTCGGGGCGACCAGCGCGCGTCGCGGGGACTCCGTGCGGCGCCGCGCCCACAGCCTTGGACGTGGGCGTACACGGGCACAGAGGGAAAAAACAACCGGGAAGGAAGCGGGCGCGATTTTCGTGAGAGGCGTGCCGACATGGGCGTCGACATTTATGCACGTAGACTCACGCGCGCGCAGACTCATCCACAATCAGACTCACTCGCTCTCAGTCTTTCGCACACAGACCTATCGTTTTCGTTCGCGCTGTGTGCCCCGCCACGCATGTCGGCACGCCCCTCACACGGTTCGTGGCCCCATCGGGAGCGCGGGCGAATATAATATTCATAAATGCGGTATTCACAGCTGCATACGGTTGGGTCCTTCGTCAGGCTGACTTGTTGTTTCGCAACCATCCTGTGGTGTTGGGTCCTCGTTTTGAAGGGGGTCCCCGCGTCTCCTCCTCCTCCTCCCTTCTCCTCCCCCCTCCCTCCTCCATGCGCTTCACCCACCCAGCACAACGTTTCGTGGCCCCAAAGGAAACTCCACCGAAGGCCCCACTGGGGGGTACCACATGCGTCCGCCACACCCAATACAGCGTTTCGTGGCCCCATAGGGAGCTCCACCGAAGGCCCCAGTGGGGGGTACCACATGCGTCCGCCACACCCAATACAGCGTTTCGTGGCACTATAAGGGGCTCCACCGAACGCCCCAGACAACGGGGGGGTACCACATGCGTCCGCAACACCCAGTACAGCGTTTCGTGGCCCCATAGGGAGCTCCACCTAAGGGCCCAGTGGGGGGTACCACATGCGTCCGCCACACCCACTACAGCGTTTCGTGGCCCGTAAGGAGCTTCACCGAAAGCCCCAGAAGGGGGGGGTACCACATGCGTCCGCCACACCCAATACAGCGCTTCGTGGCCCCATACGGAGCTCCACCGAATGTCCCAAAAAGGGGGGGGGTACCACATGCGTCCGCCACACCCACTACAGCGTTTCGTGGCCCGTCAGGAGCTTCACCGAAAGCCCCAGAAGATGGGGGGTACCACATGCGCCCGCCACACCCAATACAGCGCTTCGTGGCCCCATACGGAGCTCCACCGAAAGTCCCCCAAAGGGGGGGGGGGGTACCACATGCGTCCGCCACACCCACCACAGCGTGTCGTGGCCCCATCGGGAACACCACCTAAGGCCCCAGTGGGGGTGGCCACATGCATGTCCGCCACACCCAGTACAGCGTCTCGTGGCCCAATAGGATGCGCCACCGAAGCCCCCACTGGGATCGCCCACGTGCGTCCCACACGTCCAATTTGGCAATTCCACTAACCCAATACAGCGTTTCGTGGCCCCATGGGAAGCTCCACCGAAGTCCCCAATGGGACCGTCCGCATGCGTCCCGCACACCCATCTGGCATTTGCACCCACCCGATATAGCGCCCCGTGGCCCCATTAGGAGCTCCACCGAAGCCGCCAGTGGGACCGTCCGCGTGCGCCCCGCACGACCAAATGGCATTTTCACCCGCCCAATGCAACGGTTCGTGGCCCCATAGTGAGCTCTAATGAAACCCTCAATAGGACCGTCCGCATGCGCCCCGGAAACCCAAGTTGGCATTTTCACTTCCCAGTACAATATTTCGTGGCCCCATGGGGAGCTCCACCGAAGCCCCCAGTGGGACCGTCCGCGTGCGTCCCCCACACCCAATTTGGCATTATCACCCACCCAGTGCAACGTTTCGCGGCCCCATAGGGAGCTCCACCGACGGCCCCAATGCTATCGCCCGCATGCGCCCCCCCCACCCAGTGCAGCGCTTCGTGGCCCCATAGGGAGCTTCACCGAAGAAGGTATTCACAATTGCGGTACCCAAAAATGGATATGGTCGGGTCCTTCGCCAGGATATTCCCCAATCAGAGCTTGCCTCTGTAGGGGTCCTAGCGGATATAAAGCTGAGGTGAGGTGAGCGGCCGATTTCGGTGGCCGGGGCTGGCCGGGGCCGGGTGCCCGGGTGCCCGGGTGCCCAGGGGTGCCCGGGTGCCCGGGGTGCCTAGAAGTGCCCGGGGGTGCCTAGCCCAATAGCCCTATATCCGTATAGCCCAATAGCCCAATCGCCACATATCCCTATAGCACTATAACCCTATAGCCCTATAGCCGTACCTATACGACCACCCTTCGGGTGATAAGGAGGTTCGGGGGGGGGAGCCAACGTCTCACTCGATCGGTCTCACTGTCGATCTCAGTATCGATCTCACTATCGGTCTCGCTCGATCGATCTCACTCGATCGATCTCACAATCGATCTCACTCGATCTATCTCATTCGATCGATCTCACAATTGATCTCACAATCGATCTCACAATCGATCACACAATCGATCTCACATTCGGTTTCAATATCGATCTCACTATCGATATCACAATCGCTCTCACAATCAACGTCATCATCATCATCATCATCATCATCATCATCAACATCATCAGCATCAACATCATCGCCAAGATCGTCATCATCATGAGGGCACCGTCATCATCATCATCATCATCATCATCATCATCATCATCATCATACACATCATCATCCACGTCATCATCATCATCGGGACAACATCATCATCATCACCATCATCATCTCATCATCAACATCATCAGCATCATCGGGACACAGTCATCGTCATCATCATCAGCAACATCATCATAATCATCATAATAATCGGGACACCACCATGATCACCATCTTTCTCATCATCAACATTATCATCAACAACGTCATCATCCTCGGGACACCATCATTATCATGATCATCGCATCATCATCATCGACATAATCATCATCATCAACAACATCATCATCATTGGGGCACCATCATCATGAGCAACATCATCATCATCAACATCGCAATTATCATGATTATCATTATTATCATCATCATCATCATCATCATCATCATCATCATCATTATTATCACCATATGCATCACCATCATTATCATCACCATCATCAACATCATCATCGGGACACCATAAGCATCATCAACATCATCATCATCAACATTATCGCCGGGACACCATTTCCATCAACATCATCATCACCAACATCATCGGAATCATCATCATCCTCATCCTCATCCTCATCATCATCATCATCATCATCATCATCATCGGGACACCATCATCGTCATCATCATCAACATCATCATCATGAGCATCATCATCCTCAACATCGGGACACTATTATCATCATCGACACCATCATCAACATCATCATCATCATCTTCCTCGGGACACCAGCATCACCATCTCATCATCATCATCATCATCATCATCATCATCATCATCATCATCATCATCATCATCATCATCTCATTATCATCATCCTCGCGGGACACCGCGGGACACCGGCGGGACACCGCGGGACACCGCGGGACACCGCGGGACACCGCGGGACACCGGCGGGACACCGCGGGGCCCCGCGCCCCGGATGAGAAACATTTGGTCCGGCCGCGCCTCAACCACAGGAGGACACCGCGGGACACCGGCGGGACACCGAGGGGCCCCGCGCCCCGGAAGAGAAACATTTGGTCCGGCCGCGCCTCAGCCACAGGAGACTTTTTCTCGCCCGCCCACGCAACTTCGCCTCGCACGCACGGCACGCACGAACACGGAACCGAAACCGATTTCCCGGTGGGGGGGTCGCCGTTCCACTTCGATCTCACCCCCTCACCTCCGATAGCCCTATAGCCCAATAGCCCAATAGCCCAATAGCCCCATAGCCCCATAGCCCCATAGCCCTATAGCCCTATAGCCCTATAGCCCTATAGCCCTATGGTCCTAAAGCCCTATAGCCGTATCCAGTCCTATAGCCCGAATAGCCTTATAACCCCTAGCCCTATAGCCCTATAGCCCTGTAGCCCCATAGCCCTAAAGGCTTCTAGCCCTATATCCCTATGGCCACATCGCCCTATAGCCCTATAGCCCCATAGCCCTAAAGCCCTAAAGCCCCGTAGCCCCCCCCAAATTCTGATTGGGTTTTTTCTCTGGTATCATTTTTTCTCGCCGTCGGATCTCAGCCGCAGCAAAGAGCTGGGCGATAGCAGGGCGGAGCAAATTAGAGCGACAGGCAAGGTTCCAAACGGATGCATCCTTCGATTGCATGTTTATCCTCATCCATATTGTAGTGGCGTTCGGCCAGTGCCGCCGATCCGGGGCGCTCCGACTGATGTGATCCTTCTTCGCCCTCGTCCCTCCTCTCTTTTTCCCTCCCCTCCTCTCACTCAGCATTTATCGAAGACGCCTACGGCGAATCACCGCCGCCCCCTGCCTTTTTGGAAGCGCCTATGTGGCCGAACGTTGAGGCCAGACCTGCCAAGCTATCGGACCACGTGTTCCCCGAATCGGTTTGGAAAGCCTTCGGGGAACACGTGGGCATCTTGAAGGTCATCTTGGCCGTCTTGGAGGCCTCTTGGGCAAGCTTTGGGCGATCTTTGGGGCTTTTTGGGCCGTCTCGGGCCAGCTTCGAGCCAACTTCGGCCATCTTGGTGGGTTCCTGGCACGTCTGAAGCCGTCGGAAGCCGTTTGGGGGGCCTCTATGGGCCGACTTGGGGCCCGCTTGGAATGCTCCAGGGCCGTCTTGGAGGCCATCTTGGGCGTCTGGGAGGCCATCTTGGGCGTGTTGGAGGCCTCTTGGGCCCTCTTGGGGCCCTCTAGGGGCCATCTTGGAGGCCACTTGGGCCATCATGGGGCTCTCTTGGGGGCCTCTTGGGCGATCTTGGGGGCTTCTTGGGCCGTCTCGAGCCGTCGGAGAGCCGAAAAGGCGCAAATGCCAGAATCCTTCAAAAACCAATGAAAAATCAATGATTTTGGCCTCTTCGGACTCTCCTGGAGGACCTCTTGGAGGCCTCTTGGGCCGTCTGGGAGGCCTCTGGGGGGCCTCTTGGGCCGTCTTGGGCCGTCTTGGACTCTCTTGGGCCGTTTTGGAGGCCGTCTTGGACCATCTCGGGCGGACTTGGAGGCCATCTTGGGCCATCTTCGCGATTTTTTGAGGATGTCCCGAGCGAAACGGCCGTTTTTTGGAGGATTTTTTCCGGTCGTTGAGCACTTTCCGGGTGGCCGGCGGGTTCTGCCGGAGCCCACTGGGGAGTTCTTTTGGAAAAAGAACCAAAACCAAAACCTGAAACATCCAGCACGCCGTGCACCCCTGCAAGCAGGGGGCGGCGGATCCAGTGGCCGTCGGCCTATCCCGCCACCGTGCGTGGGTGGTGGGTCAGAGGCCTCATGGATGCTGGTTGGGATCTCGTGGTTGGCTGGGACTTCTGGGGGCCTCTTGGGCGCCTCTTGGGGCTTCTTGGGGGCCTCTTGGGCCTCTTGGGGCCACTAGAGGGCCTCTTGGGGGTCTCTTGGGAGCCTCTTGGGGCTTCTTGGGGGCCTCTTCTGCGCCCCTTGGGGCCTCTTGGAGGCCTCCTCGGAGCCTCTTGGTGCGGGAGGGGTGGTACTCGAGTTCGGAACCCCCTCGGAGGCCACGATCCTTGTGAGGGTGTCAAAAAACGCATCCGCCGGAAACTCGCACCCCCCCCCACCCCCCTTTCCCCGGCAGAGCCACCCCGGCAACCCCCCCAGAGGCTGAGGCTCAGCCTCGAGGCTGTAGCTGAGACTCCTTGAAACTCACACGCCGGATCGGCGGATATCTCGGAGACACTGCGTGTCTTCCAACTGCGGCGTAGTCTGGGTCAGTTGCACCCCGCCTGCCCATTCCTCATGCTTGCTGCGTTGGGTTATGTGTCAATGTTTCGAATCGGTTTCGCTCTTCGGTTGTGTAAAAATGATTGTGCTTGTGGGACCGAATCGTGCGGAGCGCATCAGGTGGGAATCTATAAGACTTCTTGAAGGCTTCGTACTGATCCGCGTATCCCTTTTGGGAGCCAACGTTCTGCGTCCTCAACACAAAATCGGGGACATGCTGCTTCATGATTTCCTGCCAATACTCTATGTCTTCCAAGCGCAACTTAGACAACTCGGGTGGCCGTGTAGCTTCGGGGGGCACATGAAGCTTCGGGGGGGTACCTGTAGTCCGGGGGGGGTACCTGTAGTCCGGGGGAGGGTACCTGTAGTCCTGGGGGGGGTACCTGTAGTCCGGGGGGGGTACCTGTAGTCCGGGGGATGGGTACCTGTAGTCCGGGGGAGGGTACCTGTAGTCCGGGGGGTACCCGTAGTCCGGGGACCCAGAACTATTGAGGGACACAGAGAACACGAGAACCGATACGTTTGTCGCATCATTATGTGCAAGGAGTTGGTGCCCGTCGAAATCGAACTGCTGCTCCATCACATCTACACCTGTGAGTTCCGCCAGAGTCCTCCAGTGGTCGCTGAATGCGGACGGGCCTATACGTTTGGGGAATTCTTCAACCAGCTGCGCAACACTCGCTTGACCCAACTTCAGGCCTGGGTAGAATCCATCCTCCAGGAGTCGAAAAAACAAAGACTTCTGCTGGTCAAATGGGTCGCGCACAATGGATATAACCAACGTATTGCTACCAGGCGGCAGCTTCTGCATGTAATCCTTAGCAACCTTTGCATAGTGCACTTTAACGATCGGAGGGTACGATGTAAGAGTACCGGGCACGTACGTAGCATTGAGACTCGCCTTCATGGTTTCTGAACCAACTTTGGCCATCGCAAACAACATGATGTGATCAAATCCGCCATTGAGAACGTGCGCATCCGTGTGGATGGAAGGGGTATGCAATGCCTCAAGACAGTGCGCAACGGACAAGACTAGACACAGCATATACCGAGGTGTTGAAAGCATCATGTCTCAACCATTTATGTATAGTGAAAGGGGTCTGCTCACTGGCGATGGTCACGAATGTAACAGACGTAACGCGCGGTTTATATGAACCGAATGCTCGCGCACGTAACGGAAATAACGGACACAACGGAGCCGAATCTTGAGCAAAAATGGCTACGGAGGTGGCATAGATTGCCGTGTTGGTGCTCTCTTGGGGTGCCTCCTGGGCCCCTCTGGGGTCCGTCTTGGGGCCATCTGAGGGGTGCATCGCATTGCATGGCACTGCATACATTGCACCGCTTAGATTTCTTGCGCTGGCCTGTATTGCTCTACATTGATTGCGGAACCTATGTACCACCTAGAGTGCACTGCATGCCTTTGCATTGCGCTACATTGATTGCGCCACCTAGATTGCACTACGTAGACTGCAAGAGACTACGGCGTAGGGTTCACGCTGGCCAACATATGGTACGTGAGATAAACCAACTCAGAATGTCCACATGTGTCGCCACGCTCCATCTAGTCCCGTCCCGTATGGGTGGACTGTCTGTCCCCCCTGCTCGCAGTTAGCTGTGGGTCAAGAATTACTGTCGGTCCTCGCCCACCGTTCTTTCACTAGCGATTTGCTTCGGCCGTACCGAACTCACGGATAAACATGGGGGAAACGAGTCCCGAGGGAAACGGGTCCTGGACCCTGGGGCCTTCCCCCAAGATCAAATCTTCATCCTGAATCGTTCTCTGACGGTCCTGGGGCCCGTGGGGAGCTCTGACAACCCGAAAACGGCAGAAAACCTCCGGACCCGTTCCCCCCTCCGGACACGCGCGGCGCCCCCATGGCGAGCAGAGACGCACGCGCCAGATTGCCGGCCAGAGCAAGCGGCCGGCCCGGCCTTTGGCAGCCAGCCGTCCTCCCGCTTCTGCGCGCGGGGGGCCTGCTGCGCCACGGCCTTGGCGGCAGCGGCGGCCTGTCGGGCAGGACGGCGCGCACGGCCTGGCTCCTCCTCCGCTTCCCGCTGCTCCTCCTGCTCCTCCGTGTTTCCGTACCGTCACGCCGTCACGTCGCCACCTCCTCCCTGCTCCCCGCACGCACTTGTCACCGCGCGCCGCCTGTCTACGACACAGTGGTCAACAGGCATGCGTACGCATGGCGCGATCACAAGCCCCCCCCGTCCAGCATATTTGGACACCACCCTCCCAACCCTTTTCATGAATGTTGGCGTGCGGGACAGACAAAGAGAAACACATGGCATCAAGCGTTCCCTCCCCCCACAAAGACAACAAACAACTCCTGCTCCTGCTCGTTATGCCCTCAGTGCTGCTGCTGATGATAATAAACCTCATCAGATTCCCCTCCTTTCCTCCTCCTTCTACCGCTCGTTTGTGGCATTCCACGACGCCAAAAAACAACGACAGGTTCGCACGCCCTTCAAGCGCATGCGAACCTGACCGAAGAATTTGTTGATTCCTCGCGGGCCCGTGGCCGCCAGCGGAACGGATGTCTGGACGCATACGGCCCCTCGATCCTCACCTTCGCACGCTATTTCGAATATTCCTTTCGTGTTCGTACCCTGGCTTGCCCTGCCTTGTTGACTCTGCGCTGCGCTGCCTTGACATGCCGAGCTCCGCCCTGCGATTGGTTGCGACGCTGTGCGGCATGGAGCGGCGCGGTATGTAGCATGTCGCGGCATGGTGTTTTTGCGCAACACGGCGCAATTTCATGCTACGCCATGCTGCGCCGCCCCACTGGATGGAAGGGGGGGGGGAGGGTTCGACCCCCCCCCCTTTCCCTCCTCCCGCAACTGAGGGGGGGTTCGACCCCCCCCCTTTTCCTCTCTCCTCGGGCCAGCGCCTGCGTCGGTGGCGGTTGGCGGCGGCGGCGGGGACGACGATTTCCTTTTCTGGGCCGGCGCCCGCGCCTGCGGCGGCGGGCGGCTGCGGCGGGGAGCGTCGACGAGGACGGTGGTGGTGGTGGTGGTGGTGGTGGTGGGTTGTGGTGGTGGGGGTGGCGGTGGTGGTTGTGGTAGTGGTGGTGTGGTGGTTCGTTGTGGTGGTGGTTGTGGTGGTGGTGGTGTGGTGGTGGTGGTTTGGTGGTGGTTTGTTGGTGGTGCGGTGGTGGTTTGTGGTGGTGGTTTGTGGTGGTGGTGGTGGTTAGTTGGCTGTGGTGGCGGTGGTTTGGTGGTGGTGTGGTGGTTTGTGGTGGTGGTGGTGGTTTGTGGTGGTGGCGGTGGTTTGTGGAGGTGGTGGTGGTGGTGGTGGCGGTGGTGGTGGTGGTGGTGTCGTTTGTGAAGGTGGTGGTGGGTTGTGCTGCTGGTAGTGCTGGTGGTGGCGGTGGTGGTGGTGGTGGTGGTGTAGATTGTTGTGGTGGTGGTAGTGGTGGTGGGTTAGTGTGGTGGTGGTGATGGTGAATTGTGGTTGTGGTGGTTGTGGTGGTGGTGGTGGTTGTGTGGTGGGTTGGTGGTGGTGGTGGTGGGTTGAGGCGGTGGTGATGGTAGTGGTGGTGGTGGTATTGGTGGTAATCGCTGCTGCGTCCCCGCCGTCGCTGGCGCCAAGGGGGGGGCGGTTTGAACCCCTCCCCCTCCTGGTTGCCTCTGGTCATCGCCGCTGCTTCCCCGCCGTCGGCGCTGCTGGCGGCCGCCAGCGCCGCCGCCGAAAGGGGGGGGGTTGGGAGGGGGGGGTTCGGAAGAGAGGGGAGTCCCCCTGGTTTTGATCGACGGCGCCGAGTGTTGGGGGGTGCCGCCGAATGTTCCCAAGGCAAGCGCCCGTGAAACGCGCTCCCTCATAACATTGTTTTCTGCGCTGTGGGGACATCCGACCACCTGCAGAGCCACTGCGGCAGGTTCGAGTGCTTCTCCATTTGACTCTTTCAGAGCACCTCGTAGCCTCAGGGGAATGTATGCTCCCAGCTATTCCCGATGCCCAGACGCACGTTCGGTATTAAAGTAGGAGTGGGTCGAATCTTTTGTCATCCGAACGCCGCGGTGTTCGATCGCAGAAATTGGAATACGAGCGCCCCGTCCCAGCATTTGCAGCGCTGAGAACAAATCCCTGGACGCGCAGCCCGCTCGCCACTGGGACCTGGCCCGGCAAAGAAACGGAAAGAGCGCTTCATAAATAGAAACCGAAATTACTCACACCACCGTTCGTACCGGGAACCTTGGCGTTGAGAGCTTGTTACGTCACCCCTCGCTCTTGGGAGCCTTGTTCAGAGATTGTTGCGTTGCCGCCCGCTCCTGAGCGTTGGCTGGGCCTTGGTGTCAGGAACTTGTTACGTCACCGCTCTCTGTTGGGAGCCTTGGTCTTTTACCGTTCGCTCTTGGGAGCCTTGGCGTGAAGAGCTTTTTGCGTTACGGATCGCTCTTTGTTTGGCGTCTCTGGGCCTTCTTGGGAGTCCTATTGGGGCCCTTTGCGGGCCCATTTGGAGGCCTCTTGGGCGCCTCTTGGGGCCCTCTTGGGGCTTCTTGGGGGGCTCTGGGGGCCTCCTGGGAGTTTCTTGGGGCGAAAGGCTAGACTTTTCGGTTCGTGGTCTCCCTCTTGGGGCCGTCTTGGGACCCTCTTGGGTCGTCCTGGGCGCCTCTTGGACCGTCTTGGGGCCCTCTTGGGCCGTTTGGGGGGCCTCTTGGGTGCCTCTTGGGCCGTCTTGGGGCGGTCTGTGGGGCCTCTTGGGCCGTCATCAACGCCGTGAAAACCGAAAAGCCTTGTATGCTAAAAATGTATTTTCCCCATAGGAAATCAATGATTTTGGCCTCCTGGTGGCCTCTTGGGACGCCTCTTGGGGGCCTCTTGGGGCTTCTTGGGGGGCTCTTGGGGCCTCCTGGGAGCGTCTTGGGGCGAAAGGCTAGACTTTTCGGTTCGTGGTCTCCCTCTTGGGGCCGTCTTGGGACCCTCTTGGGTCGTCTTGGGCGCCTCTTGGACCGTCTTGGGGCCCTCTTGGGCCGTTTGGGGGGCCTCTTGGGAGCCTCTTAGGGCCGTCTTGGGGCGGTCTTGGGGGCCTCTTGGGCCGTCATCAACGCCATGAAAACCGAAAAACCGTATATGCTAAAATATACGTTTTCCACCGGAAAAATCAATGATTTTGGCCTCTTGTGGCCCTCTTCGGACGCCCCTTGGGCGCCTCTTGGGGGCCTCTTGGGGCCTCTTGGGCCGTCTTGGGCGGTCTTGGGCTCTCTTGGAGCGCTCTTGGGCCGTCTTGGGGGGGAAACCCGAAAAACATGCAAAAACC